AGAAGAGAGAGAGAGAGAGAGAGAGAGAGAGAGAGAGAGAGAGAGAGAGAGAGAGAGGGAGAGAGAGAGAGAGAGCCCTGCTCCTTTTTCTGCTACTATACTGTAAGAGGCAGCCTTCTGTCTGTTAACTTTTAGCCCTTTAGCATTCTTAAGTCTCAACTTGGAGTCTCTGAAAGGTATTCATCTATTAACTCAAAGATCCCCTGTGATGTCACAGACATCAATAACTCTACGTGGTCAAAAGTGAACACATCATTTGTCTCTCACAAACTTGTTCCTGTTAGCCTCCTCCCTCAAGTTCTCAAACTTGGGAATCTTACTATAACCCAATCGAACATCTAGGTAGAAATCTTGGAATTCTCTTCAATTCTGCCCATTTCCAATGACCAACAGATAAGCCAGTATTGTTTGTTCTATCTTCAAAGTACACCCTGGTCACCACCCACTTCTGCACATCCCTATTCTCCCTTGCTGATTCAAACAAATCATCTCTCACTTGGATGGTTATAAGTGAGTACTAAAAATTTCCCAATTTTTTTCTGTTGTTGCTGAGACAGTGTCTTATTTATCCCAATCTGACCTTGAACTCAACATATGGCAGAGAATGGCTTTGAACTCAGGACTTTGTGCATACTAGACAACTTTCTACCAATTGAGCTATATCCCCAGCCCTAGTTCTCCATCTTTTTATTTTATTATTTTTATTTTATGTATATTGACTGTATACAAGAACAATGTATTGCCTGCTTGTAGCTAAGTGCACCCATGTTGTGCAATGCCTACAGAGGTCAGAAGAGGGGATCAGATTTCCTGGAACTAGAGTTAGGATGGTTATTAGCCATTGTGCTGGGAATTGAACCCAGGTTCTCTGCAAGAACAGCCAGTGCTCTTAACTGCTGAGCCATCTCTCCAGCCCTAGTTTTCCATCTTTAGTATGTGTTTCTTTAGTCTGTTCTCCATACTGTAGTTGTAGGAATCTTTAAGAAATCTAAAAATGGCCATGCCCCTTTCCTAATCACCTCTATAACAGCGGCTTCCCATTGCCCCTCATAAATGCCACACTCTGTAGTTTATGCTGCTCTTCATGACCGACTGCTTCCACCTCCTTGGTCATGTCCCTTGCCACATCAACACTCAGTCATCAAATATCTTTCACATCCTCTTTTTTCCCCTACTCTTTGCCTAGCCAAAAGCTTTCTGGTTCCTAGACTAAATAAGTGCCCTTTCCCATGTGCTTGATGCTTTAGAGGGTAATTATTGTAGCTACATCTCTAATTCTTTCCTCATATCATAGAAGCAAAGATGGTCTCTTTTGGTCATCACCCATCCTTCCCTTCCCCTGCCCAAATAACTCTGGCAGCCACACTAGTACCTTGCTTAGCATCTTGGATTTAATAACTCCTCAGTATTTGTCAGATCACCTTTCAGAGCTTTAGTATTATTTCTTTTACAGGACTAAAGATTAAAGTTTTTAAATAATTACCACCTGTTTTAACAGAGGATTAAGCACTTACATAAATTTGTCTCCGTGTGAAGGTCAAATGTATGTAAAAATGTGTGGTTCATTTATGTGTAGAGGTAAGTTCTATGAGAAGAGAGGGTCTTTAAGAGATTTTGTTTCTTTTTTTTTCTGGAAATATAATGCTCTAGGCAAGACAGTCTTTGGAAGTTCTAATATGGCCAACACCATTTCAAAACTACTTCTGAAATCCTTAGTAGCTGTAATATTTCACCATGTAAATCCTGTGATCTTTGAGCCAGGAGAAATCTTCACTGTCATATTGGCGAGGTTCCTAGACACCATCTGGGGACTCATTCTACAACCTGACAGACTTTCTTAGCTTTGGCTTGAGAATTTTCAGGAATGTAAGTCTACTGCTGATGAGGCTCTCTGCCTACTGCAAGATGCTCTAATGCAGCAGTATTTTTAAACTCAATTTCATTTTTCATTTTTTAAACTGAAATTTCTTCCTGCTACCTCAGGTTTAAGTAAAACTTTGCCCATGTGCAAATCTATCTAATCTATTTTATGCTGAAACTTCATTGCTGTTGACTTTTGTTTTAGTTTTTAGGTTTTTTGTTTTGTTTTGTTTGTTGTTTTGTTTTGTTGTTACCTACAGGTTCTAAGTCAAGAGCCTGTGGAGCTAAATTGTAACTATTAATGAATACTTATGTGGAATTGGCCTCTGTTTACTCCTTCTAAAATCGGAAGCGTGGTTCTGATTGTCTTAATGTTAAGAAAAAAATGTTTTTGGTGAGAGTTGCCAAAACTTAAATTAATGTTACTGAACGAACACATCATGCCTTTGAAACCATATCAACAAAACCTTATCGCCCATTTAGAATGAAAATTTCTGTACTGGAAATAATTCGGACTGTCAACACTACAATAAGTCCCCAACCATTAGGAAACTAAACAGCCCAAACTAATATACCATTGGCATTTGTGTCGAGACAATTAGGAACTATTTAGGGTCAGAGTTTGACGATAACCACAGAAAAATGTTTAAGAATTTGTTAGTATCCCAAGGTCAATGTTTGGACATTCTTAATGAGTAATTCACAGAGATAAGTATACTTCAGCTGAGTAGTATTTCACCTTGTGTGCATAAAACTTGGTTTTACCACATATGGGTTTTGGTTTTTGTTTTTTGAGACAAGGTCACAATATGCAGCCATGGCTATTCTAGAACTTGCTATGTAGACTCACAAAGATCTGCCTGGCTCTCCTTCTCAAGTGTTGAGATGGCGTGAACCACCATGGCATGAACCACCATGCCCAGCCTACATATGGGTTGTTTCAAAGGCAGAATTTTAAAACTTTAAGTTATACTTATTATTCTGGGGTGAGGTGGCCCACATGCCTCGACGTGTGTGTGAAGGTCAGAAGGCATCTGTGTGGAGTGGATTCTGTCCCTCCTCTTTTACCTGAGCCCCGTGATTGAACTCAGGTTGTTAGGCTTGCTTTGCAAGTACTTTACCCACCAGGCCCTGTCTATGACCCCTAAAAGCAGAATTTAAAAAATGCTAATGTCATGAGCATTTGAGGAACACAGATAGGACTAGATAAACCTTTGAAAAAAGAAAAAATAGTAATAGAGGACATGAAGCTGGGGCAGCGTGTGGGGTGTGGTAGGGTGGGGGGGGGTCTGAATATGATAAAAACACGTATGAAATTCTTGAAGAATCAATAAAATATTTTTAATGAAAGAAAAATGCTAACCAATTAAAAAAATAACCAAATAGCTATTCTGAATGTTCTCATTTTAATTAATTTTGTGGTTGAAGTTCAGACCAAATTTCAAACACCACGTACACCTCAAGGAATGCCTTCTAGAAGGCTTCAGCACAAAGTTTGTTCTTTTGGGTTTCCAGTATTAACTCTAGGTTCTTTTCCATTCTTGTTTTCAGGTTTTGCAAAGCCCTTAGAATTCCAGTTCAGCAAACCAGTTCTGCAGTCTCCTCAATGTGCTTCCCAATGATGACAGCTACCCTTAACATCTTCTCAGACCTGGAAACTTATCTGTGTGAAAGAAGTATGTGAGTGCAAAAATGATTGAATAATTAACAAGTTTTATTACTCTCATAAATATACATTTTAGTGTATTACTTAAAACCAAACAGCCTAGATTAACTAAAGAGTTTTTTCAGGCCCCCAAACCAAAACCGTTCCTCAGAGTTGTCTGAAAATGGTGGTGACTTCCCTCACAAGGGCTTAGAAATAACCTGGTACCAGAGACCTGTCACTGTGCTTGGATCTGTATTTGTGATCAGTAAAGAATTTGGCCTGTGATGAGCCAGGTGAACTTGGTTACTGGGTTACAATCTGTTTCTGAATCAGTACACCCATCTGTGTCCCCACTTAGCCTTCCATCACCTGTATACTAACCTGAGATGACATTGGGCCTTACTGTGTCTACATCTGCATTTTCAAAAAATAAACGGGATTGGAGAGATGGCTCAGCAGTTAAGAGCACTGGCTGCTTTTGCAAAGGACCCAGATTTGGTTCCCAGCACCCACATGGCAGCTGACAACCATTTGTAACTCCAATTCTGGGGGATCTGATGCCCTCTTCTGCCCTCTTTGGGTATTACATGTCATGGGTGCACTTACATACATGCAGGCCAAAATCTCCTACACATAAAATAAAAATAATATATTTTTAAAAAAGCTTCTACACTACAAAAGTTATGGCATTTATTACTTAAAATGGGCAAAAAGGGGCTGGGCATGGTGGCACACGCCTTTAATCCCAGCACTCAGGAAGCAGGAGGAGGTGAATTTCTGTGAGATGGAGGCCAGTCTGGTCTACTGGACAAGTTCTAGGCCAGGTGGGGCTACTTGGGAGACTCTGTCTCAAAAAGACCAAAAAAAAAATTATGTTGCTTCTAATTTGCAAAAATTTGCCTATATTCAGACAAACTTTGGGCGATTTTTGCTCCCTTCACTTCATTCAAGTTAGCAAATCATTTATGAGCATTTTCTATGATAGAGTGACAGTCTCAGGCATTCAAAGTACACCAGGGAACAAACCTCAAAATAGTTCTGATCATAGAGTTTATTTTATAGTCCTAGGGAGATGGAAACAAACAAACAAACAAGCAAAATACATGGTGTGTCAGATGGCTGTAAGTATAATGGAGAAACTAAATCCAGGAAGGGAACTAAGGCATGCCAAATGGGGAGTTGGGGGGTGGGGGAGGGAGGTGCTTCTTTAAATAAGGTGATCAGAAAGGTTTGCTTATAATGTAACTTGGTTACAAGATACCAGAGAGTTGGTTCCTGAGGACTGTAAGAATCCTCTTTCTATTGTTTTTATTGTCTTTTTAAACCTCTAACAGTGCGTCTTAGGCACAGAAACATTACTGTACACAAAATGAACTGACAAGTGTAGGGATGACTTTTATAATAAGGATATAATCTGGATTAAAGACTTACCTAACCTTGCAACCAAAAAGTTATTGTTTTAAATGTAAATAAGCTCTTGGAGTCATGTGCTTCTCTTGTGACCTGGGCATATGACCTTAATCCCTCAGGACCCCTCTTTGTCTGCCTCCAAGATAGTGAATGAATGTGGGACTGAGAGAAACTGCGTGTGTGTGTGTGTGATAGGCCTAGGCTCAAAGGGCAAGATTCTCTGATAAGGACAAATCTTGACTTCTACTTCCCCATTTCATACTGGAGATACTATTTCAATAGAAGAATGAGTGACACCCCTGCTCCAGAGCACAGTTCCAACACACAGCTGAAGGAAAGGTATTCAGCAGTCCAGGTCCACTCGGCCTTAGGAATGCTATCGGGCTCACCCTTCCTTCCTTCCTTCCTTCCTTCCTTCCTTCCTTCCTTCCTTCCTTCCTTCCTTCCTTCTCCTTCCTTCCTCCCTCCCTCCCTCCCTCCTTCCTTCCTTTTCTTTTTCTTTCTGTCCTCCTCCTCCTCCTCTTCCTCTTCTTCCTCTTCCTCCTCCTCCTTCATTTTTTTTTTTTCAGTCTTTTTGAGACAGAGTCTTCCTGAAGCCCAGCTGGCCTGGAACTCACTTTGTAGCTTTGTAGACCAGGCTGGCCTCAGTCTTTCAGCGATCCACCTGCCTCTGCCTCCCAAGTGCTGGGATAAGAGGTGTGTACCACCATGCCTAGCCAGACTGTTTCTTTTCTTTAGGCATCACTGTATGTGGCTTAGAAATGCAACAGACAAGAAACATCTTGCTTTCCAGAATTACATGCCCAGTGCACAGACTCACCCAAATGTCACTCTTTGGTGGTTCTATGGAACAAATACAGCCATGTATCTAGACACTAGCAATTTTTCCCCCTGTTCAAAAGTTTGCATTCTGCAGCTGACTGTGAGCCCACAGAGGCAAGTATGAAATCATTCATTCCTGCATCTTGGCAGCTTCAGTGCCTGATGCAAAGTCTGACATATGTTGGGTGCAAGGTGATTGACAGTTGAATAAACAAAGCTTGAGGGGCAAGAGAGATGGCTCAGCAGCTGAGAACACCGACTGTTCTTGCAGAAGACCCGGGTTCAAATCCCAGAACCCACATGGCAGCTAACAACTGTCTGTGGCTTCAGTTCCAGGGGATCCGACAACCTCTTCTGTCCTCTGCAGGCATTGCACGACACGGGTACACTTAGGTACATGAAGACAATACACGCACACACATAAAATAAAAATAATAAACAAAATATTAAAACAACAGCAACAAAAAAACCTAAAGCTTGAAAGTGAAATAAACATTGACTCAAATAGCTCATGAGATGTGTCCCTAATGGCCTCATTTATACAGTACTCAGTGCACACTAGATACTGCCTTCTAACATGATGGCCTCTGTGCTTCTCTAGGTCCTGTATGAAGTTAGCATCAAGAACTGACTCTGAAGTGAAGCAGTGCTATCTCTTCAGCGGGGGCACTTTCAATAAACAACTCTAAGATGCTTCCAATCCCATTTTCCCTGTAACATTTTCCTTCTACCTCTGTGATAAATAACTAAGTTATATCCCTTTTTTAAGATGGTTGAAAGAGTGGTGCTCATCACACTAGATTAGGAGCCAGTGTTATGACAGCTCATGCTATCGACACTTGGGGGATATATGGGAAGCAGGAAACCGAGAAGCTCTATTTTATCATAGAGATTTGACTCTAGGACTGAGTCATGGTCATGTGTGCAGACTGAATTGTTGAGTCTCTGTGAATCCCATGAGTTGATCTATAAATACGGAATAATAATTACTACCTCTCAGCATCTTTAAGAAGGTCAAGTTGGGTCAGCAAAGCATATGTTCTAGTGTGTGGACATCAGGCGATTGTCCAATGAACTATTAATACTTTTTACTATTCTTAGTAATAATATCACTATTAGAAAATTTAGAAAAAATTTAGAAGCTTTGTTTGCAGGTGTCGACCATTTACATGATCACTGAGGATATTTATAACTATATTTGCATTCATAAATTTATGTCCCGTATATCCTTGCAATGATATTAAACTGAATAAAGGCTGTAGTATTTGTGAATGCCATGTTAAAGAATGTGAAGAAAATATAAGATATAATTTCAAAGGCAGTTAAGCTGCAGAAATGGATGGTATTTAAGTGGGAACACCTCTATGATCTCAAAGCACCATGTGTGTTAAGGGACAGCTCAACAGGTATTTTTCTCTTCTGGTAGCTGACATCATCTAGCAGTTTAATGCTTTTCTTACAGAAAGTACAGTAAATGGAAGTCATTGAGGGTGTGATGGGGTAGGTAAGAGAACAAAGCTTTGATCTGGTCAGATCTAGTCTGGTAACTTTTTCTTCTTGTCCATTTAGAGTTTTGTTGAAGTACAACTAGGAACAGAGGCTACCACTGGGCAAGAAAACCACTGACTCCCATGATTATGGAGATGGCCCGTCTGCTGCTGAAAATGTCTCCAGCCTTTTGACAACGGCTAAATAACCATGGGGTCCAGTGGCCTGGGGAAAGCTGCAACACTTGATGAACTACTGAGCACCTGCATTGAGATGTTTGGTATAAGCTTTTCCTCCTTGATCTCTTTTGTGTATCTTGATGTTGTCACCTCCTCAGTTCAGGTGCAAGCTGTTTATGGAGCAGGTTTCAATCTGTCTTGGTGGTTCAGGATGGACCTCAAACTGTCTCTCCAGTTTCACTGGCCACTGCATTTTTTTCCTCTTCCCTGTCCACAGCTCATATTCCAGACAAACTGTCTACTTATTTCTGGAACATTCTTTGTCCTGTTTTCTACTTCCATGTTTTTCTTTGCTCATTGGAATTCTTTGAGGCCATCACAATTGTTATCCTAGATAGTCGTGATATCATTCCTAGTAACCTACGGCTTCCTTCCCACTTCCTTGCACCTGTTCTTCTGGCATAAGGTACATGCTGCTGTGAGGTGTGTGTTGCACAATCTACTGCAGTCTACATTAGCGCACACCTTATATGCTTACTGAATTACAGACTTCACAGCTATGTGCTTTTGTTTTTGTTGCTTATAGATCTACTCCAGCATTGAGTATTGAAGTACTTTGTTTAACTGATTACTATAGGGAGCAGAGTTAAGTCAGAGAAAAGCTATCAGATAAAATTCAGGATGACTGGGTCCAACAAGATGGCTCAGTAGGCAAAGGTACTTGCCATCAAGCCTGATGACCTGAGTTTGATACCCAGAACTGTTAAGGTTCAGCTAGCCCTGCCCCCTCACCAACAGGGTCTCATGGACTTCTCAAGATCCTGAGAAAAGGAACCCGAGCTGATAAGCGCCTTGGTCTTTGAAGTCAAGAGAAGCAGACTTTTCTCCACTGTTTGGCCAACACAGCAGGCTTCCCCTTTGATCTCTAAAGAGAACAGGTTTTAAAAGTCCTGCTACCCCCCCACCACACTTTAAAAAAAAATAAGAACTAGCTCCTGCAAGCTGGCCTCTGGACTCTACACATAAGCTCCCCCCCCCACACACACACAAATAAATAAATAAATTTGAATTTCATATAATCAACTTTTTTATTGTATGTTGCAAGTGTGCCTAGGCTGTACATATACTGAAAAATTAACCACTGTTTACTTTCAATTCAGATTTGTCCTGAATTTAAATTTGCTAAATTTATCAATTGCAAAACAGAGCAAGGGTTCCTCCCACCTACCTTAGTTTACAAAGAAACACGTGCAGAAGTAGGAGGACAGAGATAATTGGGCTTGGAAGTTGAAGTTGGCTCAGCAGTTTAGAGTCTTAAAGAGGACTGAATTTGATTCCTAGCACTCAGACCTGGTGGCTCACAACTGCCTGTAACTCCAGTTGATGCCTCTGGCCACCATGAGCACCTGCACTCATGTGCACATAATCAAAAATAATAAAAATAAATCTCAAGATAATAGGGCTTCTGAGATATTTTTGGTTCTCTGGTGACATTAGAAGCATCTCTGACACTGTTATCTCCTCATCCCTTATTTACTTTTCACAGATGACACTGGAGAATTGAGTAACAGCTATTTGCCAAGAATAGTTCTACTGATGCACCGATGGTATTTATCGTCCACCGAACTAGCAGAAAAACTTCTCTGCATATATCTTTTCAACCACTGCACAATTTTTACCGTCATAAATCAAGTTCTGTATTTGGAATGCCTGTCTATCCAAGGCTAGAAAATTAAGATAAATAAACAATCTTTGGTCAGTTATCCAGCTGTTTTGAGAATATGTAGATGTCTAGACGAAACATCTGGATGATGGACCAAATAGTTGACTCTCTACTGGATGTTTTGGCTGTACTTGAAAATAATCACTAAGCAGTAAAGTGGAACAGGAGCTGCAGGGACAGCGTTTCTAATTTGCCTTAAGCATTTTGACTTAGTGCAATGAAAGAATATCTAGCAGTGATTTAGGACCAAATATTTTCCTTCTGCAATACAAAATAGTGGGCCCATAGGACACAGAGGAGGTATATGGAGGCCAGAATAAGATGCTCTCCCTTAGGCACAAAGACCAGCTTAGTATTCACATCTTCTCCTGCTGACAAAACACAATGAACATTCTAGAAGGTTTTTGTTTGTTTTGGTTTTACAGTTTGTTGACTGATGCTAATTTTAGGCTTCCTTCTGACAAAAACACCAAAAATCTGCATAGGTCTGAAAATAAAACTCCAGTTGGAAATGCTGTTCTATGATGAGAGCTTTTAGCAGCAGTCTGCCCCATTGGCTTGTAATATGGTTCTGAAAAGTGATTGAAAGGCAAATGGCTGATGATGCAAGACTCTCATAAGGTTTGTTCCCTGAGATCTGTGTTATAATACCGTCTCTGTGGGTTCCTGCATCTCTGCCTTCTGTAAGTCTAGGGGCCCTGTACGAGTGAGAAGACCTTTTGAGGAAGGAGCCTAGGAGGTAGAAGGTCAACCCAACATTATTATTACCTGCCAAGGCTGCCTGGGCCATGGGGATCTACCTGTTAAATCCAAGCCTCTCCACTTGGCATTTCTTCTTTCCATCCTCTCCACCACCTCAGAGCAGAAGGAGATGTTAGAGAGGGTAAGGAGATGTTCAGCTTGAATGGAGGTCCTTGGAATGAACAAGTTCCAGGTATCCAGTGGGCCAAGAGTTCCATGGGTCCCACTGCTGAAGGATACCATGTAGGGAAGGATGGGAGAATTAACCTATCCAGTACCGCCCCCCCATGAGCCGAACAGTGTCCACAGAATATGCCTGTAAACAGCACTCTCACCATTCATGTTTGCCAATGCATGAAACACGATTACTTGTGTATCTAATATCCTTGGGGATATTTTTGTATATTAAAGCTTAGTGTGGTAAATTTAAGATGGTATAAAATTTGAAGACTGACCATGAGTCAACATTTCTTTAAATTTTCCTCCTTTCAGTCCTTGCCCACTCCACACCCGCTGCATCTGGCTGTGGTAGGTGTTTTTAAGAAGTGAAGCAGTGATCAGACTTAAAGATAAATGACGAAATTTTCATATTAACATACTCAAAAATGACATTTTAGATCCTAATGAAATCAGAGTACTTGTTATAGAAAGCACTAATCCTAAATATAAAATCTTTTTGGCTGAAATGATGCTTCTGTGTATTATAAATTTTAATTATGTACACTTTAGGGCTGGAGAGATGGCTCAGCTGTTAAGAACATGGACTGTTCTTGAAGAAGACCCGGGTTTGAATCCCAGCACCCACATGGCAGCTAACAACTGTCTGTAACTCTAATTCCAGGGGATCTGGCACCCTCTTCTGTCCTCCGCGGGCATTGCACGACACGTGTGCACTTACCTACATGCAGGCAGTACACGTCATCACATAAAATAAAAATAATAAATAAGATTAAAAAATTATGTACACTTCACAGTATGCTTGTAATTACAGTTAGAAGTTGTTGGTTAGCAAGTACTCAGGAAAGTAGAACTAATTTATCAGTGACTCCTCCAGATCAAAAATGTAGTGAAGAGCATTAACAAACGAAGTCTGATTACTCAGTGTTTAAGTGCACAAATCCCACTTCCTTTCCCAACTGACTATCTATAGGTTAAGTTTCCCTTATCCAAAATTTTTGGGGCCAGAATAATTCACATTTTGAAATATCTGTAACTGCTTAATAAGATGTGATAAGGATGACACCCAAGTCTAAAAATACACTATTTTAAGTGAACTTACGTTAGACTGTACAGTCACATTAGCTTGGGTGTGGAATCTCCTTGTGGCATTGTTGACCCTCCAAAAGTTTCAGAATTTGGGACATTTTGGATTTCAAGTTTTTGAATTAGAAGTGCTCGATCTGTAGCTCAGTTGTCACCAGAAATTCCAGGAATTCCTATAAGTTGGAATAATGTGTGTGCCAAGGAGAGGAACAGGCCCTTCTCCTTAACTAGCCGACGTATCGAAAAGCCAGTGGAGACCACTGTGATGAGTTTCGACTCAAGATCTGCTACTTCATGAGGTAAATGCACTAACACCTTTCATTTTATAGTTTCTGGTTCTAGAATGGTTAACTTCTTTTTCTCAAAGCAGCAGAGATTTCCCTCTCTCTGACTTTGTGAAAATGAATCCTTTTCTGTTCCTGGTGAGTAGGACAGAATGTACCATATGCACAAGAGATCAAGGAGTAGCTGAAACCAGCTCACAGAGAAGGCGAACTCTGTTTTTCACTCTCACTGTATATGTTCCCCACTTGCCATGAATTAGGAGAAGGATTCCCCTCCACTGTGGTGCTATGGAGAGTTGGGAAAAAGTTCAGACGTGATGAACCTTAGTTCTTGACAAAAGGATCATACGCTGTGATTGTTGGGGTTAGGAGATGACTACTTGTAAGTGTGGTACTAGATTCAGTGTTAAGTTCACTTTTTAAAGATGCAACCATCCCCACAGAGGTCCAACAAGAAACCTTCCAGCTTTCAAAAGTACTTTATTCCTTTCAGGTACTGGATTCTGAAGTTTCCTGCAGAGTTTAATTTGGATCTTGGTTTGATTCGTATGACAGAGGAATTCCGGGAAGTAGCTAGTCAACTAGGATATGAAAAACACATCAGCCTCTTGGACATCTCCAGCGTGTAAGAGTGGCACAAGTCTTTCACACTCCATGGGTCCATTGCTTTGGGAAGGGACCAGTGATGATCCCACTTGGCCTAAACCCATACTATTCCATAACAGAAGTTGCTTCTTTGAAGACAGCCTTGCAGCGACTAACTCAACTGTGAATGCAATATATTTCTCTAAGCTTCGCTTTGTTTGTAAAATGGGATGTCACTTTTTCATGGATTATAAAAGTACCTAAGAGAGCATGTGGAAGTATTTAGTATATAATAATAGATGCTCAGTACTTGGTTCTTGAATCTGAATTCAATTAATGTCTCCTGTGGCCCAGTCACTCAGATCACTAACACTGGCTTCTCCTGGGAGCTCATCAGAAAGCAGAGTCTTGGGCTCCATCCAAACCTGCTGAATTGGACTCTACACCTTAATAAGAGCCCCAGGTGATTCATACACTCAAGTTTGAAGCACTGAACCACAGTGCTTCTGAGGTATACCTGAGGTTATGCAAATGTTGACCATAGTTGAATTACTACCTGGTGAACTCACTTATTAGGAAAGTAATACTAATTAGGCTCGTTTCATACAGACTACCTAACTTTGCCTAGGGACAGCTCTCTGATGATCCTGTGTATAGTTGTCCATCTTTCATATGTCTATCCTATCCCAGACTGGCCTGCAATTCATTATGTAACCCAGGCTGTCTTCGAACTTATGGTGATTCTCCTGCCTCAGCATCCTGAGTGCTAGGATTATAGGTGTGCACCAGATATACAGACTTGTGTGTGCTAGGCATTTTCTTTACCTCAAATGCTTCTTCAAGACTGAACAACAGCAAAGGACCCAAGACTCTATCATGGATGCTTGTTTATGATGCCTGTCATCCAGATTCACTAAATCAGAGTCTCTGGCAGTGGGGTCTAGGTCTTTGTCTTCTTCACAAGTTTTTCAGATAATCCATATTATGCTCAAGTGTGGGATCCATAACTATGGTGATTTCCAAGTGCCTTAAATCATCACCTAAATCTATGACTAGCCCTGACCTCTCCCTTATGGTCCGGATCCTGCTTGATCAAAAGGAAAACCAAGTACGAGATTCTGGATGGATCAGACCAAACCCACTCTGCCTGGAAAAACAACTCAAAGTTTGTGTTCTGTTGGCAATGGGTCTGTGGTTTTTCTCCTCAAATACAGAGAACAGGGCGTGTATTTCACACACGCTCTTGACAGTGGGCCAAAAGTTACAGAGTCAGTAGGTTAATGACTTCCCTTGAGTGAAATGCGTTTTCTGCACGTTGACCAGGATCGCTCTTCTTTCATAGTCCTTCCTATGACTGGATGAGAAGAGTCACACAGAGGAAAAAAGTATCCAAGAAGGGAAAAGCCTGTCTGCTGTTTGACCATCTGGAGCCCATTGAATTGGCTGAGCACCTCACTTTTCTGGAGCATAAATCTTTTAGAAGGATCTCAGTAAGGAACTTGACGTTTATTCTTCCAAGGATAACAACCACTATGCCAACTTCCCCAAGAGCTCCATTTTCAGACTCTGAAGTGTTGGCAGCCTCTGTCACTGGGCTCTGCTGGAAAAGTTCCCTTAATTCATGGAACAATCCCTTTTAACCAAAGATAAATATTATCCTGTCTTTATTTTATAGCTCAGGAGCTATATTTCTGCTGCTATTTTCTATGTCTCCTTTCATAGAATTAAAGCATGATTTTTTTCTAAACTACTCAGTGATTTAACCATTCCAGGTTTATTTTGTTCTAGTGACTTCTTCCAAGTGAATAGTTTTGCTAGGCATTTTATTTGTGGAATTTCTTTAATTTATGTTGATATCTACATGAATGCCTAAATATGAATATAAATTGAGGATTAAGAATTGTGGGCTTTGAGGAATCTCAACATCAGACTGCTTCTTTTCCAGGTACTGCGATCCTGAGTGAAACTTTCTCTGCTCCTCTTGATAGGCTGCTTTCCTTCCAGTCTCCCTTTGGTCCTCCGTTCTTCCTCAGCCTTGGTTCCTCTGAGCTGCTTCTTTGCTGCTACCTGCTTGTTTTGATAATGGTTCCACTGGGGTTCAACCGACTTGCCTTGTCTCCTGGAACTCTGGGGAAGTAACTCCTTTCCCAGGGTGCCTGGAGTAAACCACTTTGATTAGAAACATGAAATTTATTTATTAATTTAATTAATTAATTAATTAATTAATTAATTAATCAATTGTTTTATGGTACTGGGAATTAAACCTGCCCCTGCCCATGCTGTGCAAGTACTCTACCTCTGAGCTACGTCCCCAGCCCAGAAGCAGGAATTTCTGAAAGACTGATTCTTTCACCATGTCATCCTGCTTATAGTGAACCCTCATGATTCTTTTCAGTCAGGTCAGGGGAAGGAATCCCCTGAACTTTGTATGGGATACAAAGTTCATACCTCTTTGATGACACTTGCCCCAACTTTCCGAGGATATTTCTGTTACTACCTTACCTCATTTGGTACTTTTCCTTATCTCTCCCCCCTTCCGCCACTTAGAACAGTAGAAAACTATTCTGATTTGAGAGTGTTATATTTCTGTTAATTTTCTGTACTTTAATGCATGCCATTACATCTTAAATTGCATGTTCATTGGAGTCACTGGTAGAATTAAAAAACCTTACTTATTTTCTGTGGAGATACCGATCCTTTCTGTCTTGAGTATTCCCTGGCAAATGGCCTAGGTGGATCTTATGATTCCATTGTTCGGGATTCTCGGGAGTATGACTTCGTGTTTTGCCTCTTTTTCTTCCTCCCTGACAGCATCATGAGGTTTGAAATATAGTAAAATAACCTGTTAAAAGTACACATATATCAAACTTGAATAATTCTATTATAAATGTGAAACGAAAGAGATTATTATGTTGTGAAGAAAGGCTGTCTCACCCCTTGCACCCAACATTCCGATGTATGATTTTGTGAAAGCTCCATTATAATTCAGAATCTCTGAATCTTCCTCTCCTAGTTCACTGATTACCAGAGCTATGTCATCCATGGTTGCCTGGAGAATAATCCAACTTTGGAGAGATCTATTGCTTTATTTAATGGAATCTCTAAGTGGGTCCAGTTGATGGTTCTTAGCAAGCCAACTCCTCAGCAAAGGGCAGAAGTCATCACAAAGTTTATTAATGTTGCAAAGGTAAGTCTAATAATCAGACCTGAATTTGAGAATTCTGTGTATTCATTAATGCTATTGAGAGAGCTCATGGAGGACATTGGTGTTCACAGTATAAGAGCACTAGACAACTAAACTACTCAGAGATCTAGTGAGCAAACCATATGCTCTCATGTAACAAGATTGCTTTTAAATAGCGAGACTTAGTTAATGTAATTGTTTTTCTGTGAAATGATTAATATCCTTTTCTAGACGATTCAACTTGTGCTTCATTTTAAATTGATGGTATTTTTCCTGGGTTCTGGTTATTAAAATTGTGCGTGTATTCACTTGCAATTTGGGAAGTTCAGAATGATTTTTAAATCTTTAAAAGAATTGGTGCTAACATTTTTATTGCAGAAGCTCCTTCAGCTCAAAAATTTCAACACCTTGATGGCAGTGGTTGGAGGCCTAAGTCATAGCTCCATTTCTCGCCTCAAAGAGACCCATTCTCACCTCTCTTCAGAAGTTACAAAGGTACAGCTGATTCTGATCTGAATTCCAAATATTTATAAATTGTTGAAATGTACTATGATCCTAGCAAATACCATACAGGATGAAACCATTTTCCTCTTAAACCAATGGAAAGTTGCACGTGGAGAACAAAACAAGAAGGAAATAGTCACATCAGCTGAATCCACTGAGAAAAGCATGTTGCTGTGGTATAAGTGTTCTACTAAGAATGCTCTTACTGGGCCAGTGAGATGGCTTGGCAGGTAAGGCTTGGCACCAAGCCTGAAGATCTGTGTTTAATCTCTGGATTCCACATAGTGAAAGGAAATAACTGACTCCTGAGAGGTGACCTCTAACCTCGAGTATACATATACTGTGGTATGTGTATGCCACACAAACACACGCATACAAATAAATAAATAAGTAAATAAATAAATAAATAAATAAATGTAAAACAGAAAAGAAAACGTTCTGACAACGGATGTACTGTAAATGTCAACAGATATTTATTTGGTACTTGCTGTGTGACAGTCACTCTGATACACATGGAAGATATCAGATGGCTAAGTCAGACAACCAGCCCTTTTGGAATGAACTCGAATGCTTACTTTATTCTTAGCACTGTGCTTGGCACCATGGAAGATACAAAGGAAAGAGAAGGCAGAGGCCTTGTGCAGAAATATTCAAACTTATAACTGAATTGTCGGGAAGAAAATCATATTTTTTTTTAAAATCCAGGGACCATTTCTAAAATTGTTTTTCTAGTATGTTTATTTCTTGACCCTATTACGTTAATAACTTTTTTTGTCTTATTGAGCAAAAAGGAACATTTTTCTTTATATAACTCTTTTGCTGTATTAGTAGGACATGTTCCGTTTTAGGTTAGAGGAGGAAGAAAACAATCTAAGGTGATTAAATAATGAGCAAATGTATTATCTGACAAACCTGGAAAGTCCAGAGCAGGAGCAGGCTCAGGTGTGATCTGATCGAAACAAAGCTCAGTTGTTCGACCTTCCTCTAAGCATGAGCATTTTGCAGCTGGTTTTGTTCACTTGATTTTTGGTTTGCTTCATTAAATTGACTTCCCTCCTGACTAGGCTTTTGGTAGCAATAGGGAAATTATAGTCCCTTGTTCAAGGAAGTTGACGATAAAGACTTTTCACTTCAACTCTGCCCTCATTGATTAAAGACCTTCTTTATAGATATATTTAGCCATTTCAAGTCATGATGTCTCTTCTGGACAAGTAACATTTGTCAGTGAAATACAGTGTACTAGTTGGCCTAACCCTGTGCTCCTAAACTTTTTACAAACCAAAGGGATGGGATTCCCATGATGTTAAATCAGAACCCATTCTAAGTCCTGGGGATAGAAGCAACTCCATCTGAACCACGTGGGATGCATTTTGAAAGAGCTGACTGATGAAGAGGGATTTATTAAGGAAGTCTAGGTGTTCACTAACCAGGAAGGGTTATCTATATAAACAAGAGCGGGGAAGTCAGAGAAGCACCATTTGACCTCAAATTCTGCCCTCATTCCAAGTCTAATATGACTCATTATAGGTTCTATTTTCTGTTAGCTTCGTACAAAATTCCAAATAAAAAGCTAAAAGAAATTTTAAGTATTGTAAAGTAGAGGTTCCTAGAAGCTTGGAGTTACATCTTTAAAATTTGTGTATTTAGCTGGGCTTGGTGGCACACGCCTTTAATCCCAGCACTCGGGAGGCAGAGGCAGGCAAATCCTCTGTGAGTTCGAGGCCAGCCTGGTCTACAGAGCTCCAGGCAGCTGGGGCTACAGGGTAACCCGCCCCCAAAAAAGAGCCCCCCCCCAATGTGTCTTTGGACTCATCTTTCTCACAGGGAAGGAAACTGAGACCTCAAAGGTGAAGTAATTTGTTCAAGTTCACCCTTCTAGTTAGTGTGGAGTTTAAAATCCCAGTTTAGTGTGGCTTTTCCTAACTTGTACTGTCCCTGATAAACTTTCAAGTAATATTTGGAAACACCAAGACATTTTAATATGCTGTGTGCTTGCCTTGGTGAATTGTAATACTCTCCTGAATCACAAAATGCTAAGGATGCATTTAACAGCCCACAGGCAGGCAGAGGTACACGCTATTTCTGTGTTGTAGCAGAATGTAGACTGCAACAGGCTATCCAGCTAAGAGCCAAGCCTAGTGCATTTTTCTAATTTTTTTCCCCCTGGTTAATACTCTCTTGCATCAACATTGGTGCAACTGATACTTCTCTCCGAAGCTGAGGAATTCCAAGTCACATATTGCAGGGCCTAGAAGTGGGCAGAAGAGAGGCTGTTGTCTGAAACGTTTACTTTTCCATCTGTTCCCAGAACTGGAATGAAATGACTGAGCTGGTCTCCTCCAATGGCAATTACTGCAATTACCGCAAGGCCTTTGCTGACTGTGATGGCTTCAAAATCCCCATCCTTGGCGTGCACTTGAAAGACTTGATAGCGGTCCATGTCATTTTTCCAGACTGGATGGAAGAGAACAAAGTGAACATTGTGAAAATGCACCAGCTCTCTGTTACCCTGAGTGAACTGGTCTCCCTGCAGAATGCCTCTCACCACTTGGAACCTAATATGGATTTGATCAACCTGCTCACTGTGAGTGCCAGGGGGCCAATTATGTGCCGAACAACTCTTCTGCTTCCCACTTTCCAGAGACATATATTGCAGTAACGTGTATTGCAGTAATTCATTTTGGGGGAAAATTGATTTGGAGGTCAGTATATGATAAGGAATCTTTAAAAAACAAGGAAAAAGAAGTCTTGCACTCATAACGAGCATGACTTAAGACTATAACCTTGGAGCAAATAGGTTTCCTTTTGTTGAGAGGGGCCCAGTTTCCGCCCATACAGTGTCCTTTTCTGGAGGTCTTGGAGAACCTTCCTTCCAAGAGCCACCCTTAGCTGCGCACTCTCCTTCAGCACTCTTGCCCAACTAATCACATCCTATATGTCCTAAAGTCCTCTGCTTCTTTTTGTATGTGTGTGTTCACATGCATTCAGGTGCACGTGTGCAGGTGGGCATGCTCATGTGTGAACATGTATGTAGAGGTCAAAGATCAACCTTGGGCCATCTCTCAGGAGCCATCTACCTTATTTTTTGAGACAAGGTTTCACACTGGGACCTGAGGCTCTCCAATTAGTCCAGGCCGGCTGGCCAGTGAGCTCCAGGGATCTGCCTGTCTCTACCTCCCCAGCATTGGGTTCAGAAGTGTGTACCACCACACCCAGCTTTCTACAAGGGTTCTGGGGATCAAATACAAGAACTTTACAGACTTGCTAGCCTCCTGTTTCTCTTTATTTTCACTATATTGTTTTAGTTGATGTCTGGAATAATTTCAGAACCTCCTGTGTGAGTCTTATCCACAGCTTATACCTTCCCAAGCCTCCAGACTTTCTAGCTTCCAGTATAGCCTTTGAAGCCCTCATTATTACTTCTCTGACCATTACCAGCTTCCAGCCTGGCTTTCCAGGCCCCTTATGACTATCTCTCTGACCATTGGTCCTGCTTTGTTTGTTCTCAGCTTTTCCAACATCACACTAGCCACTGAGGAATATTAGACTTATTCTTTGCATCATGAAATTCTGCCTTCTGCTTCCTAGCCTTTGTTTCTTGAAAATCCTTTCCTTTTCCTTCTGTGTAATTGAATTCAAAAGACTATAGCTTTCTTTTCTCTTATTTTTTTTTGTATTGTGTGTGTTCCTGATTTGTGTGTGAGCATGGGTGTGGACATGCGTGTGGTGGTCAGGAGACTACTTTATGGAGTGGGTTCTCCCCTTCCACCCTTACTTGGATTACAGGGATCAAACTCAAGTTGCCAATTTTTGTTTGTTTGTTTGCTTGCTTTGTTTTTGAGACAAGATCTTGCTATGTAGCCCAGGCTGTTCTTAAACGTGTGATCCCCTTGCCTTAGCTGCTCATGATTACAGCTGTAAGTCAACATACCCAGCTTTTATGGCTTCCATCTTTCTAGAGAATTCTTTGTTCTCTTCCAAAGCAGTAATGAGTCTGTCATGTGTCGTTCTTGCACTTTACATTTTCCTTAATCGTAGAAGGTATTGCTCTGTGATAGATTTATTTTTCTGTTCACATGCCTTATCCTCTATATGCTAGCACCTTTCATAATGCCTGGCAGTTAAAAACTCAGAAGACAGAGTGAACAATGCACTTAGGAGTGATGAATGTCAGACAAAAGAAGTTCATCTATTACTGTTTTTTTTTTTCCCATTTGTAATATGATTAGCCGATCTTTAGGCCCCAGAACTTTTAGACACAACAGGTATGTAAAAGAAAATGTCTCTTTGTGAGAAAGAAGAAACATAAACAATTTCTTCCACCCTTGCTTAAACAAGTAAAGGTGTAACTGCCCTGTTTTGACTTTTTGATAGCATAGCATCTGAAACTTGGCTGTGATACTGAATTGACTATTTTCTTTTTATGGCCATGGAAAATGAATGCAATAACTCCTCTTAAACTCTGACAACCTAAATCTTCTAGGACTGCTGCATTGGAATAAGAGCCTGGTTCCCAGACTTCTCATGAACTGTTCCTAGAGCACATGATCGTTCATCAAAGAACAGACCCCTAAGTGCAGGTGATAGTGTTGGCCACACTCAGCATAAAGCAGAAGTGGTCAACACACAGATGTCTTGGGGTTGTGTGATAAATAGTAAATACACATTCTCTACTGCAAAGACAAAACCACCTCACAATAATTCAAGTATCTGCATTCATTAATCATTTGCCATGTAAATTTGTTTCCATGAATCAGTGCCCAGAGTTGCAGTCCCAATCAGACAACAAACCACAGGCACAGGTGATGTCTGAAGAGGATGGCCCTCAGTTTCAAGTGTCTGCCGCCCAGGCTGTATTGTTGATCCTGGGGATAACATCATAAAGCAGGTGTCTACATTTGGGCACTGTCTCATCCAACTAAAAGACATTGATAGGGTGGGGAAATGAAGTTTGAGTTTGAAGTACGTCAAGCAGGAGCAGGGGCTCTTGATGGTAGACCACTTACCTAGCATGCATACACAAGGCCCTGGATTCGACTCCCAAATAAAATAAACAAACCCTAAACGAACCAAACAACATTATCAACAGAGATATTTAGAGAAATTCTAAAGAATTTTGAATAAAAATTCAGTGGTACAAACGGAAAACCTGAATCCCCCAAATAATAACACCATAATAATAATAAGCTAAGAGATAATTCCCATATTTTGGCTAAGAAAGAAAGAAAGAAAGAAAAGTAGCTTGGCATGGTGGAACATATCTTTAACCCTAGCACTCAGGAAGCAGAGACAGAGGCAGGCAAATCTGTGAGCTTGAGGCCAGCCTGATCTACATAGTAATTTCCAGGCTATTTGGGGGTACAGGGAGACCCTATCTCCCGCCCCCCCCAAGCAAAAAGAAAAAGAAAAAAGAAAGATGCCAGAGTGCCTCACCCCTAGAGGCACCAAGGAAAAATCTAAAAGTCACTTAGCATATTTATTAAGTGTAGTGCTGCGTAGCCTAGTGTGATAGCAAAATCCCAGATGAAAACTGGATCTTAGCCCTGCCTCTGCACTAATTAGTACAGACTTTGCTTTTTTCATAATGGTTCTATGTTCATTTAGGAGGTCTCTTCCAGCTCTAGATTTCTGATTCTAGGTATATGGGGTGGTGAAGCCATGAAAATAAGGAACCATTTCTGTGGTACTTCCCCTGGCTCCCCAGGACAGCACAGTCCTGCAGAGGCATCATGGTACCTCGAGCCAGCTTCTATTTAGATCCACTATCTTTCTTCTCTCCAAAGTCAAGGAGAATGTTCAACACATATGAATGTACATCCATTCTTCCCAACCTCTGAAGAGGTAATTTCCTTAACACAAGCCCTGAGGAAACTCACGTGTTCACTAGAGTCTAGTGGCTGCTTTATGAAGCACATACATGTTTGGATTAGAACCACATAATTGACTGCAGCTGTCTGAAGGCATGTGTACCAGTCTATAAGTATAGCCTTTAAGGGTGATTCATTTTTTTCCCCAAGACTCCAACTCAAGTTTTTGTTCAAAGTGACTGTTTTGTTCAGTGACCAACATGTGCTCAGAGCACTAGAAGATAGAAAATGAGAACTCTTTAAGTTAATCAGCAGTTACTCTTAACACCCACTCTGCAGTAGGCTGTCTACCAACCTAGAACTTTCTATAATCATTGATTTACACAGCACTTTCCACACATATTTCCTTGGTAATTCTCATAAGTGCCCTATAGTGTATCCTGGGAAAAATAGGAACTGTAACACCTCCTCTGCCCTGCCTTTCTCAGAAACGAAGAAATGGGATTCATGAAGGCCGAAAGGCTTTCAAGTGGCAGACTTCTGCATCACAGCTTGGGGAGTTTTCTTCCTTGGGCAAGCTTTTTTTCTATCATTATAACATATACCTGGAAAAAAATCAATATATAAAGAGAAAAGGCTTATTTTAGCTCAGCCTATTTGGCTCCATTGCCTTGGTCCTGTGGTTAAAGCTGCGCATCAGGGGAACAACACAGAGCAAAACAAGATCACTCACCTCATGACCGAGAAGCGAAAAGAGAGGAGGATAGGACTGGGGTCCCACAGTTCCCTTAGAGGCATGCTTTCATCATCTGAAGACCTCTCACTGGTCCTCACCTCTTAAAGTTCTACAATGTCACAATAGCACCTAGCTGGGAACAATATTTTAACATTATGGGCCTTTAGGGGCATTTTAAGATGTGAACTAAGAGCAGATAGTTTGGCCTAGACGGACATCTGCTCTCTACTGTGGGTATATTGCTAACTTGTAATATATTGTGTATCACTGAAAAAATTAAACAATACCCTTTTTACAAGATTGTAATGAAGGAGTTATTTAGAGGATAAAATTTATGAGGTAAAGACTATTTCTCTTTTGCCACCATGACCTTTGTCCCTTGAACAGCATGGGCATGTGAAGACAGAAGTACAGTACGAGACTGACAGTTGGGATTTGGATAGTTCCTCCCTTCAGGGAAGACCTGGAGAAGATGTTTCCCCTTGGGATCCTAATTCATATCCTCAAATGTTCTCAAAACTGATGCTTCTGTTTCACGATATAGAAAACAAACAGCCAAATTCTTTTAATAGTATTTTTAGCCCCATCAGTTACTTTTACCATTTTGAGCACATGCAAATAGCTGGAAAGCCCCTATGTTTTTACAGTTTCAGTTCAAAAAAGAAGAGGAAGAAGAAGAAGAAGAAGAAGAAGAAGAAGAAGAAGAGGAGGAGGAGGAGGAGGAGGAGGAAGAGGAGGAGGAGGAAGAGGGCAACTTTACAAAACTGATGAGTGGAGATAGTTTGATGGCCAAGAATGTTTTATTTTATAATAAGCATTTGAGTCAATGGAGCTCCTAACATGAAGACTAACTCTAGAGTCATCTTTGCTGACAGCATCGGGGTAAATTAATAACCCAAGATAATGGATCAGAATATTGCCAGGAACCACTAGGGGCAAAATGTGTTAGCAAAAGTCAGTCATATTATTTAAACGATGTGAAAGAAGTTCACAGGACAGGCCCATATGGCCCCAAGGAGACCTGAGAGAGGAAATAGGATTGTGGCTGTCAGGACAGAAACAGTAGCAGTGGCCCCTAGGGCAGTTTTCTATTCACAGATAAGCACCACTGCATGTGGCTGAATCTATGCCCCTCTAAGCAAAGCCAATGGAACCGACACGTTAGTACATTTAATCTTCACCAAGCTCCTGGGAGCTTGGATGATTCTCATTTTGCAGATCAGGAAGAAATCAAGAAGCTTAACTGCTTGCTCAGGGTCACAGCATTAATATATAGAAAGCAGATATTTGGAGAATACCAAATCATGTCCATCACTGGGTCAGTTCTCTGTCCACCTGATGTAGGAAAATACCCAAGGTTTGATTCTTTCCTAAGAGCGTCTTCTGTACTTAGTGTGTGGCTGCTGGGGCTTTCTGGTTGGATGTCTTAGAGATGTTGTCATCTCATCAGAGGATGCTGGTGCCAATTGTCACAGGACCTGGGCATCATAAGACTTGGAGGGAAGTTGGGAAGAAGGAAACATGCTTGTCAAAGCTGGGATGAGCTCCTGATAATAAGGAATTAGAAGGAAGACTGCACTTGGCTTTCTTAATTTGTGGAACTTTTACCATGCAAGGCTACACTACTGAGGCAGGAAGGACAGATGTGCTGCCTACTTTCCTAAGGCAGAGCCCAGAAGAAGCCTCTGTGGAGGAATTTACCAAGTAGTCAGCAACTGTCCATGGCAGGTGTATTTTATTTATGTAGTAATATAAAACATTTGTTGCAATGGCCAGTGTTTAAATATTGTTCTAATTCATATTAAACTTCAGATTTCTGACTTCTGATAACTTGGATCTGGCAACTTGATGCGAAATGTCAGGCTCACAAGTGTTTATTATACCTGAATAATGGCTGTTCCCACCTTGTCACAGATGACATCACTCCCTATTGTTTCCTTAACAGAGAGCTGGTGTTATACTCCCCACACCATCACAAGTCTTTCTTACTATTCAGCTAAGAGGAAAGATGGCTAAATTAATAGCACCTGTGAAGATTCTACTTTCCAAATAAGTCTCTGTGGTACTGTACTAATTACTTACCTTGTTGCTTCAGCGAAACACCTGACAATGCAAGGCGTGGTGGCACACACCTTTAATTCCAGCACCAGGACGCAGAGGCAGGCAGTCCTGTGAGGTTGAAGTCAGCCTAGTCTGTCCAGGTCAGGTCAGCCAGGGCTACATATTGAGACTTTTTTTTTTTTTTTTTTTTGGTCTTTTTGAGGCAGGGTCTCCCTGTAGCCCCAGCTGTCCTGGAACTCACTATGTAGACCAGGCTGGCCTTGAACACACAGAGATCTGCCTGCCTCTGCCTCCCCAAATGCTGGGATTAAAGGCATGCACCACCACGCCTGGCTCGAGACCTTTTTAAAAAAAAAAAAAAATCTGGCAAAAGTAACTTAAAAGAGAGTTTGTTTGGGCTCACAGTTCAAGGGTCTAGTCTATTGTAATGGGGAGGCCATGGCAGCAAGAGCTTGAAGTAACTGGTCACACTGTGTCCACAGTAAGGAAGCAAAGAATGATGTATGCTGGTACTCAGCTAGGTTTCTCCTTTTTATGCAGGCCTGAACCTCAGCCCAGGGGCGGCTCACTTCACAGTTGACATGCGTTGATATGAATACAACTATTAAAATTCAAGTTCTGTTTGTTCACATTAACTGCCAGACCCTGTGGGCAAGAAGTGAGTTTTTGCCCTTCGGTATCACCAGGTCTTGGCTCTACAAAGAATAGGAACTGAACTAATTTCTCCTCTGTTCACACAGTTCTTTAATCAGACTTCCAAGGCACTATTGACAGGTCTTGTTCTGTGTATCTGTCTAGCTTCTAGCCCATCAACACCTGAAATTCCCCATTTCTAACTCAGGACTGGACATTCAGGAGCTGCCCTGTCAATATTGCAGAGGAACTGAATCCCTGCCTCTTGTTGATGCTGATGACCTCACCAGGATTAACTTTTTCTTTCTTTCTTTTTTAAGTATTATTTTCCACCTCTGCAAGCCGGCATTTTATTTTATATTCATTTAGATTATTAGACACAGGACTTACAACATTCATTTTGAAAATATTTCAGCAATGTACATAAAGAAATGTGGTCCAACACAGTTATTCATCCCTTCTAATTTTGTTGTAGCTTTCTCTGGACCTCTATCACACAGAAGATGATATTTACAAACTGTCACTGGTGCTGGAACCTAGAAATTCAAAATCGGTAGGTATTGCTTTTTCTCAGTGCTAAACACCACTGTTTGCTGTTTACTGTGATTGTTCTCTTTTGGACTCACATTATAAGTCATTGCTTACACTGATGTCTGAGTGTGGTCCTTTTTTTTTTTAATGTATTTTTTTTAATTGAGTTCTTGTGCTTTTCATAATAATAGATCTTAATCAAATTTAGAGCCCTCCCCCACCTGCACCCCTCATAGGCCCCCACCCTACCAGATTTCATACATTATATCATTATGTTAAAGTCTGTCCAGTCAAGCATTTGAAGCAGGGTTACGAGCAGATTCCACATGCTTGTAATCTCAGTCCTCAGGAGGCAGAGACAGAGGATTGATATAAGTTGGAGGCCAGCCTGGTCTATACAGTGAGTTTCAGGCCAACCAGGGCTTCATAGTGAGACACTATCTCAAATAAATAAACATTTGAGTGCTATATGAACTTAACGTTTTACTGCTATTAGTAAATTAAATTGTTTTTCTAGGTGTCCCTGGCCTTATTGGCTCAAGGTCCAGTTAATGTTGAAAATGCGTGTGTGTTCTTTTAACAGCCTACCTCTCCTACGACGCCCAACAAGCCTGTGGTACCCCTGGAGTGGGCCTCAGGGGTTATACCAAAGCCAGACCCCACAATCATCAACAAGCACATAAGGAAGTTGGTTGAGGTAAGTAGTTGAGGGAGAATAAACAGAGAGCTCCAAAAGGCCCCTTTTTCTTTCCTGAGCATTCTATGATTGCCCAGAAACTAAGTGGGCTCCACGAAAACAGCTCTCAAGCAATAAAAATAATTTAGTGGACATTTAGTGCTACCTGCATTGGCCCTTGGTGGGGGGGTGGGGGGATCTGCCAGAAAGGCCCCCACTCTCTCTTGCCGATGTCTTATTTGCCCAAATACTCTCAACTTCTTCCAGTTCCCCTCTTAGGCTTTTATCCCCTCGGTCACTGCGACCAGCTTGAAGGACTTTGGGGATTAGAATCACTCATGGAAAACCCATACCAGACAAGTTGGTTACTCCAGGGCAGAGCAATGTCCTGTAAGTTGGGTTGCTTCACCTGCTGTATATTATGGGGTTTTGTGACACAGCAGCATGATGCCACTGAGGTCAGAGAAATTGCTTGATGTAAGTAAGCCAAGGCTCTGTCAGAGCTTTCAATATAGAGCGTTGAATGTGATGGTACACCAGCACATGGGAGGCTGAGGCAGGAGGATGGTGAGTTTGAAGCCAGCCTGTATTATAGTGAGACCCTGTCTGAAAAGATGAGAGAGAGAGGAAAAAGAAGAAGGAAAGAAAGAATGAATGGAAGTAATGTGGGAGAAATGGAAACCTCTTACTCACTGGAAATTGTGATCCAGGCATGATTAAACCTCTAGTTTAATGGGTTTGGCACATCCTCTATTATAGTACGGTTGAATCTATGGGGTATAATGTGCTTTTTCCTGGAAAAGGATGTTTAAGAAAAAAAAAAAAAGAAAGCATACTTTTCATCTTGGCTAACCCAGGATGCTGGGAAGTGCTGAAGGACGTTTTCTGGCATATGTGAGCAGGAGGAAAAGGAGTACAAAGAGTAGTTTAGAGGCCAGGTACAGGAGGCACAATGGGACCCTGTCCCCAAATTAGTAAGCTGGGTGCTGGGTGCTGGTGAGACAGCTCCGTGGTTAAGAGCACTTCCTGCTCTTCCAGAGGACCTACATGTGGTTGCCAGCACTCACTCTGGGCAGCTCAACCTTCCCGTAACTTCAATTCCAGGGGATTTGACCCCACTTCTGGCTTCTGACAGTACCTGCTCTTTTGCTGAGGGAAAGCTCTGAGAAAGCAGTAAGGCCAGGGGAAATGGGAACAGGACTCAGGGAACGAGGAGGACAAGGAGGGCGGCTCTGCGAGGACGTCTGATACCAGGCAGTGAAGGTGGAGCTCTTTCTTTTCTCTCACTCTTATTCCTCCTTTCTTTCTTCACTTCTCTCTTTCATCTTTAAAAATTAGCGTATAGACTACTGGGCTTTGTTATGGCGAACACATTTGTTTTTGTTGATCCTCCTTTCCACCTTCCTCTCCTGTCTCCTGCACATTTGTTTTTGTTGATCCTCCTTTCCACCTTCCTCTCCTGTCTCCTGCCTCCCCTGAACCTCCCAGTAGCCTTCTTTTGGCTTTTGTGTCTCATGTGTCCCATTTCCCCACCTGCATCACCTCTTTAGTTCCTCTCTTTCTTTCTCTTCTAGGTGCGTAGTCTATGCCCCCACACTCACAGTCCCTGGATGCATACATAGAAACATTAACAGCTAGGATTCACATATGAGACAGAACATGTGACTTTTTTTTCTTTCTGGATGTGGGTTACCTCATTTAATATAGTAATTTCCAGATCCACCCATTTCCCTGAAAACTGGTTACTTCCTTTTTCTTTACAGCTGAATGGCAGTCCACTGTGTGTGGCAGTCCACTGTGTGTGGCAGTCCACTGTGGTGGCAGTCCACTGTGTGTGGCAGTCCACTGTGGTGGCAGTCCACTGTGTGTGGCAGTCCGTTGTGATGGCAGTCCACTGTGTGACTGCATTCATTATCCACCACAGGACTGCTGCCTCTCGTTCATTCTGCAGGCTGCCTCACCTGCTCCAACCAGAAGCCACAGTGTCCCTCACCCTCCCTCTACCTCTATCCCCCCTCATTCCCCTGTGTCCAATTTCAATTCTTTGGGGGAAAAGTTGGTCAACCCAGTTTGTGTCAAAGTGCCTACCATTCACTTAATCAAATAGAAGGCAATTTCATTATAAACTTTGATACTAAAATTTTGTTTACAAAATTCTTGTACTTCCCTTGTTCAACTATAAATTGCAGGGACTTCAAAATAGTTAACCTTTAAGCAGTTTTGATAATGGAGAAATGTTGAGATGGGGACTTTCAAAAAAGTTAAAACATTTTTTGAGTCTGCGAAGTGCAATTATCTATGGTTGGACTTCAATGAGTGTTAAATGCTCTGTTGGTCATATTCTTGGTTAATTCATGTATGCACAGAACACTTAGGAAGCAGACTGTAGCAAAGTAGAATAAATGGAAATAGTTTGGAAAGGAAGAAAAAACAATAACTAAAATCCTCATGAAACATATATATTTGCCTAACTTATAAACCTTTGTGAAAACCTAATTTAATAGAAATCAGTAGAAACTTTTAATAGTTTTCTTTGATTATACATGCAGATTGAATCACTGCAAATATTAAAGCATTACAAAAATTGTAGAAAATAAATAAACTTAAATAGAAACAACTTCTGCCAGCCAAAGCAGTATCTGCCTTTAATCCCAGTATGTGGGAGACAGCGACAGGTGGATCTCTGAGTTTGAAGCCAGTCTGGTCTACATAGTGAGTTCCAAGCCAGCCAGGACTACGTGGTGAGAATTTGTCTCAAAACAATACAAAATAAAGCAAATCTTGAAGTTTTGGTAACTTTACTTTCCAGGGAAAACCATTTGTGATTTGTAAATTATCTTGTTCAGTTTTAGTTTCTATCTATCCAGTCACACATCTACATCATCATCCATACTATATATCCCAATAAAAACATATTCAGGTGAGTGAGGTTGTTTAGTTGCTCCCTTAGGACAGAGTTCTAAAAGGAGAACTGGTCTACCTGAGGGCAAGCACATCTGGAAGGACCTGACTGCCTTCTAGGGAGGATGTTGGCCATTCACTCCATTTACTTGATACAAAAGTGCCAAATGTCTCAAACCCAAGAGAATGATCAATTATTTTAATAAGTTCCAATCTAAGAGGTAAAGAAAAGTCTCACTTGCATTTTTATGCTTAGTGAAGCCAGCCATACTCCAATGACTGTGCTGACTAGTTCACTTGTAGTTTTAGATTGGTGGTAGCCTGTTTTTCTTTTGTTATTTTTGTTTTTTTGTTATTGTTTGGTTTTTGTTGTTGTTATTTTCTTTTTGAGTCTGGGTCTCTTTCTAGCCCCAGGTGGCCTGGAACTAGCTACATAGACAGGCTGGCCTTGATCTTAGAGACCTGCCTGCCTCTGCCTCCTGAGAGCTAGGATTAAAGGTGTGGGTCACTGTGCCTGAACCTGTTTTTTCTTTTGTGATTTTACTTTCTTATGCTACAAATATCTTGATTTATTTATTTTCAAATTGAGCTTTTTTCAGTTTAGATATTTTTGCCTTTCATTGTAATAAAATATTTTTTATGACATCTGACTTTAATGTCATAGGAAATGAAATGCCTTTCTCAACCTGGCATAGTGGCTCATGTCTGCAATCTCAGGACTTAGGAGACTAAGGCAGGAGAATTCTGAGTCTGAGGCCAGCCGGGACTACATAGTGAGTTCTAGGCCAGGCTGAGCTGGATAGTGAAGCCCCGTCTTAAAAAAAGAAATAACTGAAAAAGCATTTCTCTCTCAAATGTTTTTATCCATAGCTTTTTTTCTTTGTTTTTTACATTAAAATTTCAATGCATCAGGAATGTAGTTTGGGGACAATTTATTTTTTTAGCCATTTAAGTGAACAGAAATTATTGAATAATCTGTAATTTTTCTATGGATTCAAAAAGATGCTTTTTTGATATTACATGGATCTACTTGGGAATTCAGTATTGTAACCTCTATAACCTTGTGTTGATAGGCACAGCTGTAAAATATTTGATTTCTGAAAGGCATGTTCTCATTTCTTATTCTGAACATACTTTTATTTGTACTTTAGAATCAATTTTTTCACTTAAAACAAATTTCCTCCTTCCAAATAAAAATTTTAAAAATTATCCCTGGGTTTCTTGGTAGGATTGCATTAAACATACATTTTCAATTTTCTAGGTAACTTAAATTCCTAAAGCCACTTTCATGGTATGATAATTAGTAAGTTCACCAACCTAACCTCTACTCAACCCTGAGGCCTCAGTTTAGACTGCTTTCTCTAGGAGGTCTTTCTTAATCTAAATCCCAACCTCAAAGGCATCCACAAACCTCTTATCTTTTAATACTTTTAAATAGGCTTTGAGTTCAGTTCAAGTTCAGTCTCCCACTAGACTCTATTGCTCTATGCTCTCTAGGCTTATCTTAGATAGCTCGATGTCTACCTAGGCTCTCTGATAGAAAGGGTAATTCACTCGTATCATTTTCCCAAGTTCAGGGCCTGACTCATACATAGTAATTCTTGTCTGTCCTTTGCAGTCCGTGTTCAGAAACTACGATCACGACCATGATGGATACATCTCTCAAGAGGACTTTGAGAGTATAGCTGCCAACTTCCCCTTCCTGGATTCCTTCTGTGTGCTAGACAAAGACCAGTAAGTTCTAATTTTGTTACTTGGTAAGGGAACTAGCCTAAAGCAGAACGTTATCTGAGGGGAGTAGAAAAACCTACTACTTGCATCCTGACAAGCCTTGGCCTGGTGCTCTGACCAGACAAGTCTGACTTTTCATTGATGTTTTTCTTGGTGTCCATGAATATTACCCACTGGGTGGTATCACAGGCAGACCACAGCTTTGTATAAAACGAGCGCCTAGTTGGAAATGAACCAGTTCTCCAGCTCTTTCACGGCTTCTAATGCTTAACTCTGTGTGTGTGTGTGTGTGGCGGTGAGGGGGGGCGGGTCACGCATGCCACAGTAAGGTTAGAGCACAACCTTAACTTTTGGCAGTCAGTTCTCTCCTTCTACCATGGGATCTGGAGATGGAACTTGGGTTTTCAGGCTTGTGCTACAAGCCCGCTTACCCTCTGAGCTGTCTTGGAGGCCTAGTTATTTACAGTCTTCACAAAAGCAGAGAGTAGCTGCCGACAATCAAAAGGATTCATAGCTTCTTTCTTTGATTGGTCAAAGGTTATTTTGATGTATACACAAAGGAAAAATTATATATATATTTCAAATGATTCCTGAAAAGTTGGTTTTAAAGATTAAAACTGAATTCATTAAGAAAATAACAATTCAAGGCCAGGCATGGTGGCACACACCTTTAATCCCAGCACTCAGGAGGCAGAGGCAGGCAGATCTCTGTGAGTTCAAGTCCTGCCTGGTCTACATAGTGAGTTCCAGGACAGCAGGGGCTACAGGGAGATCCTGTCTCAAAAAAAAAAAGAAAAAAAGAAAAAAAAAAAAAGAAAATAACAATTCAAAATAATTACTGAGAAAGACTGGCATTAAATGCTGATTAAATTTTTGAGGCAGTCTTGATTTGTAGCCCAGTTTGGCCTCAGATTTAACAAGGTAGATCAGGCTGGTTTTGAATTTATGGCATTCCAGTCTAGTCTTCTGAAAGCTGAGATTATAATTAATCTGATTATGTGAGACTAGTTCCTAATTTAAATATCATCTCTAATGAAATACTGAATTTTGTAATGATGAAATGTTCCAACTAAGTCACATTAAACTCCTGTAATATTTTTGTTGATATAAGAATATTTTTTTCTTAATGGGTACTGGGGATTGAATTTAGGATCTCACGAATGCTAGCCAAGTAAGACACTGATTTTCACCCCCCCAGCAGCTAATTGCCGAAAGTTCCTTAGGTTGGGTTGGGATTTCTTACCCACCTTCTCATGTCTTTGCTGGGATTTTGTCTGGTTTGAGCCTGTGAAGAACTTGTGAATGCTGTCGCTATTGCTGTGAGTTCATGTTGGTAACTGACCAGCTGTCTGGAAGACTCTGTTTTCTTGTGGTCATCCCCCATCTCTGGGGGATGACGATCCTTCCTCTACCTCTTCTGCAACAATCCTTGAGCCTTGGGAGGCAAAGCTTTGAAATAGGTGTCCTACTCAGGGATAAGCACTCTGCAGGATCTTATTCTCTGCAACATTGACTAATTTTAGGTTTCTGTGTTAATCACCATCTCCTGCATAAGGAAATGTCTCTGGAGCACTGAGAGATGCATTCATCCTACACATAGAGGTCGCATTAAAGATGTGTCGCTTTCCTCATATACCCTTCCTTCCCCCCTCCCCTAATCTAATCCAATTTTTATCCAGATCTCCCTTCTTAAGGTCTGTTGCCTACTATTCTTCTCCTTCAGGTTATTTCTTTTCCTTTACCTCACTGTTTCCTTACCCTTGTCCTGGTTCCTGCATCCTGCACTGTTTGCATACTTATTTATCAGAGTCTGATCCTAGGATCCACATATGAGGGAGAACATATGTCGATTTTTTTTCTGAGATTGTGTTACTTCACTTAGTATAACAGATTCTAGTTCCATCTATTTACCTGCAAATTTCATGATTTCATCTTTCTTTACTGCTGAGTAAAACTCCATAGAGGTGAGACTAGGTACCAGGAAGCAAACCACACAGCGGTGTCTAAAGCTGAATGAACAATGAGGCACATGTAAAGTCCTTATCAGAAAGAGATGAAATCTACCAGGATAACAATGGTTTCTTATATGATGTCCGGAAGAGTGATCAGAAACACTCTGTACTGTCTTTTAAAACTTTCTTTGGGTTGATTTTTATTTCATGTGTATAAGTGTTTTGTTTGCATGTACCTAAGTGCACCTGTGTGTTCAATATCTGCAGAGGCCAGAAGAGGGTGTTGGATCCCCTGGAACTGGAGTTACAGATGGTTATTAGCCACTGTGTGGATGCTGGGAACTGAACTGGGGTTCTATGTAAGAAAAGCTAGTGCTCTTAACTGCTGAGCCATCTCTCCAGTCCCTTGCATTCAGTCTTTGAGGATAAACACACAGTAAAAAGTTTGTGGAACTTCTATAGTATGAAAAAACTTAATGAATCTCATTGTCTATTCTGGAAATTAATCCTTTATCAGACGTATAGCTGGCAATGATTTTTTTCCCACTCTGTGGGCTTCCTCTTCACTCGACTGGTTGTTTCTTTTGCTGTACAGAAGGTTTTTAGTTTAATGAGGTCCCACTTATTGATTGCTGACCTTAATTCCTGAGCAAATGGTGTCCGGTTTACAAAGTCCTTTCCTACACCTATATCTTGTAAAAAAAAAAAAAAAAAAATGTGTCGCTTTAAGTGAAGTGTCTAAAGAGATGGCGAAGCTGTTAAAGGCTAAGGCTAACAATCAAAATGTCAAAGTATGACAATTTTTTAAATGATGAAAACTGTATGTCATTCAACAATCTAAGCAAAGCATTGAAACTTATGCATAAGCAACTTAAAATATCAAATTTGCCTTCATTGTGTAACCCAAGAATACTGGACAGATAAATAACATTATTAGACTAAAACTTTCTTTACAAAGTAAAATTTAAGTTCCCGCTAACTATCCATTTCTTCCTTGAGTTTGTTACTGTCAGTGACATGGAAAGATGACATGGATTTAAAATCACTTTCCAGTCTTACTGTATTTTCTCTGTTGGTTCTATAATTAGATCTCTCTCTCTCTCTCTCTCTTTCTCTCTCTCTCTCTCTCACACACACACACACATATACACAGCACACAGGAGGGAGACTTTCTAGGAAGAAGGGGTATGGTGGGAGGGAGGTAAGAGACAATAATGGTGAAATGATCAAAGTACATTATATGTGGGGCTGGAGAGATGGCTCAAGGGTTAAGAACACTTGCTGCTCTTGCAGAGGACCAGGGTTTAGTTCCCAGCACCCACAAGGCAGCTCACAACTGCCTGTAACTCCAGTTTCAGGGGATCTGGTGCCTTCTTCTGGCTTTGATGAGCACCAGGCATGCATGTGATGCACATACATATAGACAAAGAATTCATACACACAAGTGAAAAAGAAATTTTTTAAAAATTATATTAAGTGCATATATGAAATTATGAACAAAGTTTAAAAAAGATACAGATATTCATATTTTTGGAAGTTAATTTTGAAAAAGATATTATTTAGTCAAGTGTGGGAATGGTAAGGTTAAATATGATTAAATAGGTACCTTCCCTGAACTTCTGCAAGATTTTAATAGGCTAAGTATCTCAAAGATCTGTTTTACCACAAAGCGTTTTGGGAACAGTTATCTTAGGGGATACTTAATTTTTAATCTATCTCCCTTGGAAGACCCCATGGGGAAGAAAGTCAAAATTTTAGGTGATTTGGGAAGTTTCAGTGACCAAATCAAATATCTTTTCATTCATTCAGATATATAAATCCTTGTAGATTTTCACTTCAAGATGAGATGGCCTGTCTCTTTGGTGACCAGAATGGAAGAGGGCTGGAGATGAGTAGTGGACTCTCTGAGTCAACACCAGTACCAGCCCTGCCTGTCTGATTTTCACAGAATCTGGCCTCTCCATCTTGAGAACTGTGGGGTTCCCTACCATGGGATGAGGAGGGTTGTACCATTTCTTTGCAGAAGAATTTGTGTTTTTCCAGGTGTAGTTAGATACCATCAATTCTTACACTAGATAAAACCCCAAATATTCAATAGCTTGGCATACTGAAGATTTTTGCCCCCACTCATTTAAGTCCAGTATTCTGATGATTGGGCAACATTCCTTTCTAGAGGTTCATGGAGTAGGTTTCTTCTGTTCTGTGGTTTTGTGAATCTTGAGGCTCCTGCAGTTCCCCATGTATGTTTGGTAAATGAGAGCAGACAGAATAGTTTCTTCAACCTCTTCAACTTTTTGATCTTAAAGTATCATACCACATCTGTTGGAGATTTAGCTCCTGGCTCAGGAGCTACTTTTTAGCGGATGATCTATATGATGAAAAATGGAAGCAGGTACTGTTCCTCATTTCTCTATTGAGCCGTGTAAGAGCCTGAACCAGGTTGCTGCCTGTGATTAAGCTCCAGTGGCCCTAGTCAAGTTACAGTCTGTAAGTAGTACCCTGAGAGCTGTGACTCGGTGATTATCATCTCTCTCTCTCTCTCTCTCTCTCTCTCTCTCTCTCTCTCTCTCTCTCTCTCATCTATTTTCTATCTAATCTTTATCATCATCCTCATCTATATAGCCCCCTTAGGCTATATATATTTCCTTTACCATGAGTGCCATCTAAATAAGATACCAAGCTTCTTGCATATGTTTGTGATTGGTGTGTGTTTGCAGAGATCACAGGATAGTTGGTTCTTTTTGAGATGGGTGACGACTCATTTTTATAAAATTTAAATATGGCCTTTTTTCCTAGCACTCAGGAGGTAGAGGCAGGCGGATCTCTGTGAGTTCAAGGTCAGCCTGTTCTACATAATGAGTTCCAGGTCATCTGGGGCTACAGGAAGACCCTGCCTCAAAAAGCACCCCCCCAATTTAAATGATTCAAGCTATTTCACATATGAGAAGAGAAAGGGATCTTAAATCTGGGGGAAAATTATGACATTGTGAATAGCAACAGGGAAAGCTGTGGTAAGGTGAGCTAGAAAAGAAAGATGTGGACTTGGTCTTGTATAAATTTGAGATGAAAACAGGCTTTATAGGAAGAGATGTTGTGCTGGTTAGTCTTTGTCAACATGACACAAACTAGAGGCACCTGGGAAGAGGGAGCCTTAATTGAGGAATTTCCTCCAATCAGATTGATTTATGAGCTTGTATGTGGGGCATTTATTTGATTGTTGATATAGGAGGGCCCAGTCCATATGGGTGATGCCATCACTAGACAGATGTTCCTGGGCTATATAAGAAAAGTATTTGAGCAAGCCAGGGAAGAAGTCAGTAAGCAACATTCCTCCATGGTCTCTGCTTCAGCTCTTGCCTCCAGGTTACTGCCTTGGGTTCCTCCCCTGACTTCTCTCAGTGATGGATTGTGACTGGGAGTTGTAAGCCAAAATAAACCCTTTCGTCCCCAAGTTGGTTTTGGTTGGTGTTTTATCACAGAAACGTAAAATGAACTAGAACAGATGTCTAGCAAGTTATTGAAGATGTGGCATGAAACTTGTGAGAACAGTTGGAGCTTGAGATGTACATTAAGTTTTCAGTCCAGAGGCATTAACTAGATGCTGGAGTGTGTATGCAACTCTCCTTTCTGGGGAGAATTTGATGAGCTCAAGGCATGAGAAATGAGTGTATGGGACTTCCCATATGTAGAAACTGAAAGTAGCACATGGATCCTGCAGATGAACCAGAGAAGGGGAGCAACAGAGGCTAGAGTAAGCTAGGACAGCATGGGATTGCAGAATCTGCAGAGACGGTATCAACCAGCAAATATGTCCTCACGTCACACTGTCACAAGGTTAGCAATTTCAAAGACTGAGACAAGACCACAGAGGGTTGTTCTTGGCAACAGTTTTCGTAGAATAGCAATGTGAAGAACTTGAGTGGGTAGAGTAGAACAATGGAGAATGGATGACAGCTCCAGAGGCTGCTGTGTTTGACAACTTTAGGCGTTAGGAAGACAGAAGGACAAGTGTTGGGGATGACAGCAGGATTAAGGAAAGATCTGGGGAGCCAGACAGTCTGAATATCTTTGTAAACAGAAGAGACAGATGAAAAGACTGAGCAGAGCCTAGAAAAAAACCCAGAGTTCTGCAGAGGCTGGAGAGTAGGGGTGGAACAGGAAAACCTGAGAGGACAGGAAATAAAGGCATTCTGAACTGGCAAGGAAAGGAGTGATTGCCACATCTACTTCGCATCAGTTTGGTCTTTTCTGATGGATAGGAGGCCAAGGTATATGTCGCATTGTGGATAGGGAGGTGAGTGGAACAGGTTTGTTCTGTGTAGAGAAGATCTGAAAGGACTTCTCTAGTGAATGGGCATAGGCCAGTAAGACTGGGTGAGAAGATCACTGGGAGAGCAGCCAGGATAATATTGGACCAAATAAAGGTAGGAATGGCAACAGTCTAATTCATCCTTATTGCTAGGCAAGGAATACAAAACTGTATTCTAGAAGCTCCTACTCAGTAATAAATGCTGAGTCTGAATATACAAACCATATGTGTTAACACATGAATAGTAATACACACACACACACACACACACACACACACACACCACCACCACCACCATCACCACCACCATCACCACCATCTTCTTATTGGAGAAGGCTTTGAACACCTAATGTGTCCTTGGTCATGACCCTTCCTTTCGGATATTACAGACAAATGAAGGGTTTTTATTTGCTTTTGGTCACAAAGGTTTGGGAAGTGGGTGGGTAAAGTGTGGCAACTACTTAAGAATATAGTATTCAAAGATTCTTCCCTTTGATTTTCCTAACAGGGATGGCCTAATTAGTAAAGATGAAATGATGGCTTATTTTCTGAGAGCTAAATCCCAACTTCACTGTAAAATGGGACCAGGATTCATCCATAATTTTCAGGAGATGAACTATCTCAAGCCAACCTTCTGTGAACACTGTGCGGGATTTGTAAGTCGGCTTTCCATTTTCTCATTTTTGCAGCACTCTGGAAAGGTAGGGAAATAATTTACTAAATAAAATCCATTTTCTTCTTTGAATCAGAAATATAAATGTGATGGTTCCCTGAAACATGAAATAAAAGGAAAACAAGATCTGTGAGTTTAGCTACATTTTAGGAATGCAGGCCAGTCAAAGGCAGGGAAGGCTGCTGAGGCCCATTAGCTCAAGAGAGCAGTTTACCTACTAACCCTTGCTGAGGGAAGGTGTCAGCCCAGAGTCCTGGCATTCATCACTAATACCCATAGTTGTTGATATTAAGAGGAGCACTTTTCTTAGCCAGTTCCTTCTGGTGCTCATGTAGCATGGCATTACTCACTACATCCATCATGGCATGGCTCAGTAATTCCCAACTCACACAGGAAAAAAGATGGCTAGAATAATAAATAGCATTTATTTAAGGCTTGACAGTAACAAAGAATTTCTCTGGACAGTGATGTAATGAATCCTCACTGCAAGCTTTGAGGAAGGCATCTTACTCTCCTGATGGAGACTGAGAGGTGTAGAATTGCTGACCCAAGTTCCTCAAGTTGCACACTCCTAATGACCAGCGTGTGGACTCAGACACAGGTGCTCTGAGTATGAATCCTGCACTCAGCCTTTACCATTGCAGCACATGAAGCCTGTAAACTTATGCCCGCACACTGGATGATTATTTTGGCAGTGAGGTCAGCTTTTGTCCTGCTCCTTAACAGATTCTTGGGCTCTGAATGTCTTCCAGTTGATACACAATAAAAGAAAAGGAAAAATTTCTATTTTAGGTGAGGGCATCCCAGCACCCAGGTGAGTACGGTAATTGCCAGAGCTCAGCTGTATTAATCTTATTCAGCAGTCATGTCCCAATGCTGAGTTACGTGTTGCTTCTAAAGTATACTTTTCCCATTCCATGCTTGAAGAACTGACTTTGTGAACTTAAGGGCACACATTCTTCTGAGAATGGGTAGATACGAGGTGGCTGTCGTCTTCAAGATGGTCCCAGATAGTGACAGCAGCCACCAGACCAACCTAACTAGCTTGCTTTACCCATTCCAGGGATGAAGAAGTTTGGGCGCATCACCAGACCACTCTATTATACAACAAATACATTTTCCTTTTCATATATAACTTGTGTCTCTATAATTATGAGGGTTTGAGGAAGTAGAAAAACCTGAAAAATACTGAAGTGGAATGCAGTTATTGTAATACTCTCCTGCAAGGTTTGATCCGTCAAATAAAAGGCAAGGAAGGCTCAGAGGCCATGTGAAGGCACAGCCAAAAGTCAAGATGATCCATCTGGCCTCTGGTGGAGTAGGAGGGTCTGAAAGTCCTGATTAAATCTCAAAAGTATTATCTATGCTGCCTCCGCCTTGTATGTGGATGCTGGTTTTGTAGAAGCAGGAGAGTGGTCATTCTTGAGAGCTCTACATTTTCCCCAGCCCCTCTGAGCAGAAATGCTAGGCTCCGATGAGGGGCTTTGATGCACCTGTGACAAAGTACAAAGTGCTGGGCTTAAAGTCGGGAACCTTGGCTTTGAATCTCAGTTTTACTCCTTTACCCTGTGTTCTTGACCAAGTAAATAGCTGTCTTTATACTCTGTTTTCCTATCTGTGAAAAGTTCTTATACCACTTACCTCCCATTTTGTTGTGTTGTAGTCTTTTTCAAAGAATTCCTTGGCACCTTTAAAGGTTAACTACAATGAACTTACTCTTAAATCTGTAGTCATTCTTATTTTTCAAAATATAATTTCATTGATGCAGTTTGATTCAATCTTTGCTCACAAAATACATAAGGGTCCACTGATTTTCAAAGGGACTTCTAAATATGACTCTGAAAATGTATCCTTGGAAAAAATTATGAGGGAATGCCAAGAACCCTTTTCTAGTGCCTGGGCCATCTGCTTTTGAAACAAATTCTATTTTAAGGGCAAGGAAGGCAGTGCATTTATTTCAGAATTAGGATTTCAGAACTGAAAGAGTGCTGGTAATCCCCAGGTTGTAGAAGAAGAAACTGCACACTGGAGAAGTTAAGTGACTTAGTTCCCCAAGGTCACACAAGTCATTGGCAGCAAGACCATGAATCAGAACCGGGTCTGCTAACTCTTAGTCTAGTGCTCTTTATACTATAAAGAAGTTCTCTAAGTATTGTAGCAGCCCAGCTTCTCAGCTCAAAAGACCCTGGGAAATGCTCCTGACACACACCTAAGTGTGTGCCTTTTACTATCCTTGGCTGGCACACCAATCCAGTCCTTTTCCTAGTAGTATTTTCTTCTGGATATTAAGTGAGCGTAGCAAACCAGGTCCTGACTTTCCCTCCTGATGGGACTCTTGCTCAGCTATATCCTTTTTAGTAGTTCCTGTAGTGGTGCTAATAATGCAACCCATCTCAATATTAGGATGCCCTTTCTTTGGGTGGGGTGGGGAAGGCAGAGTTTCACTACATAGTCCAGGACAGCCTTGAACTTTAGACCCTTCTTCTTTAGTCTTCTAAATGCTGGGATTAAGTGCATGCACCACCACAGCAGGCAAGGATGCTCCTTATTCAATCTTTTCTGGTCTTACCTCAGTGACTTACTGTGTTTCCTTGAGGTGACATACACCTCAAGGAGGTGTGAGACCTTTGCAAGGGACTTCACCTCTCTGTAAGTTAGTCTCATCTATAAAAATGAGGAAAATACAGTTATTTATCCCAGAAGGACATTATAAGCACTGGACAAATGAATGCATATAAAAAGCATAAAACTCATGCTTTTCACATAGCAGTTGTTCACCATTACAATTGTTACTACTATTATAAAGCACTCCAGGGAGAAAGAATGTCATCACTCTAAAGTTTTCCAGGTTGGGACTTACAAATTGTCTATTTCCTGGATTATCACCACCACCTCTTATAAGACAGAAACCAGCTGGATGATTTTGAACAGTCCCAGCTCTTTTGCGAAGATCACCTATTTCCCTTTTCTGTCCTCATCCTTTCTTCATTGGTCCTCTGCTCCTGATCCGACCTGCCAGCCAGTTGTCAAGTAATTCTTTCTGACCTGTGGCAGACTGTGGCCTAGCCCCAGAAGGCTTTGGGTCTTAATACTATGTTCTGAAAGAACTAAGAACTGTTAAGGATCAAAGTGGTCTTTGGGCTTTCCAGGAGTGGGCTCTCCTTGTCTGTGGGAGGGGAGGGTGGCACTGATGCCCTTCACTCACTCTGCATTCTGCATTGGTAGCTATTTTTCCTTTCAGGGTCAATGCCTGTGCTCTGGCTTTGTTTTTCCTAATAGATCGTCAACAGTTCACAGTGGCCCTGCTCTTTTCAACATTATTTTATTAAGCAAACAACAAGTACCCTGCCTAGTTTTTAGAAAGGTCGAGATGGAATTTTTCCAGTTTAATGCCGTTGAAGTGAGCTAAGCCTGATACTGTATGTGTTGGTGTTCCTGCTGTCCATGTGCCAGTGCTATGAGGGGTAGATGGAAGGACATGGCAAGGCTACCTTCTTCATGATGTTTAGAAGTCATCTATCAGGAGGACAAACGCCTCACTGATACTGGAGTTGTTAGGGTCAGAGCCTGGGTCCTGGCCTCCCTAACACGCTAGGCTTGGCCGTCTGACCTCAAGATGCCAATTAAAGATACAAGGAATAGTTGCAAGCAGAGAAAGATTAATTCAAGCAGAGAGATTAATTCAATGTGGTCACACTGGGAAGAGGGAGAAATAAGGGGGTCCAGTGAGCCTCTACCAAGTCCGTCTTGGGAGTTGGGACACCAGGCTCAGGTTTAAACAGAGAACATGAAGTATGCATGCCCAAGCAGTCCTTGTCAGAGTGCAGTCCTACCCACCACTGACCCAGCATTGTCTCAGCTCCAACCTCTCCAACAAGGTAGCCTGACAAGTTCTTAGACCTATGCGAAATCTGTTTCTGGGAGACAACTTCCCCTTAGCTGGCATTTTCCTTCTCCCAGCATGAGATTCCTGGGGAAATTCCAATTCCTTGGGGACCACTGTTTCATGGTCTGAGAGCCAAAAGGAATGGAACAATATCTTCATTCCTGTCAGGATGTCAGATCATACCCAAGACTAAGTTCCCCAAACAGTTTGGGCAAACACTCACTACCTCTCCTGAGGCAAAGGACACAATACACTTCCGCTTAAGGATTTATTAAAATATTTTACTTTTAAAAATTATGCATGTATGTCTATGTGCATGTGTTTGTGCAAATAAATGCAGTATCCATGGAGGCCAGAGGGGGTGTCAGAGCCTCTGGAGCTGGAATTACAGGTGGTTGTGGGCTGCCTGACATGGGAGATGGGAACTCAGTTCCTCTTTAAAACTACACGATCTTAGCTGCTGAGTCAGCACTCCAGTCTCCACTTAAGAATCTTAATTAGTTTTATTTTTTATTTGAAAGCCAGGCAACACATCATTCCTTAAAACAGAGTAAGTATTCCAGTAGCAGCCCTCAGAGGCTGATTTTATAAACAGGAAGAAGCCAAAGGAATATGGATTAGTCCCTTCCTACCCTTGGATGATGGAGAAAAAAACAAAACAACAATAGAAAATTAAGGCAGGCATGATAGCACATGTCTGTAACCCAACCATTTGGGAGTCTGAGGCAGGAGGGTTAGGAGTTCAAGGCCAGCCTGGGCTAGTTAGTAAAACCCTGTCTAAACAAAAAAGAAAAGAAGTGGTAACATTGATTTCCCCAGGTTACCTTTCATGTTAAACATTGAAGTGGAGGTGAAAGACTGAAATTGGCCTTTTGGGAAAATTCAACTGTTACATCTCCTGGTCTGGGAAGGTTAGATAAAAAGCTTAGTTTCATCTTTGTGACATGGAACATTAGCATGGGTGATTCCATTTTGGCTTTTTTAAGACTTAACAAATTTTTATGTATTTATTTTTATTTTATGTGTATGAGTGTTCCTGCATGTATGTTAAGTGTACCTGTGTTCTGCAGTGCCCATGGAAGCCAGAAGAGGGTGTTGTAGCCCCTGGAACTGGAGTAATGGACAGTTGTTAGCTGCCATGTGGGTGTTGAGAATCAAACCTGGGTCCTCTGCATGAGTAGCCAGTGCTCTTGATCGCTGAGCCATCTCTCCAGTCCCTCCCTCTCCATTCTGATTTTCAATCTGGTCTGTTGGAGCCTCCCACACTAGCTTCATCCAGAACAGTGTCCTCTGCAAATTTTATTCAGCCGTCACTTCCTGCTTATTAACCACTTGGAAGTCTTTGGTTGGCAGAGTCTGAGCCTTTTTGAGCTCTCCTGCAGCCCTGGTGGAGAGTGAATACATGAATACATCATTTCCTCTTCTTTATTCTTCAGGGTACAAATACTGCTCAGAAAAGAACCTGGCAAAATTCAAATTAGTAAGTGCACTTCTTAGATTGCTTTATTTCCTGCAGAGGGCACCAAAGAGCAGCCAATAGCATTAAAAAGGAAGACGGGGAGACCAAGTGGTCACCTTTCCTATAAATTGTGTGAGAGCACATCACCAAAGTCTAGCAAACATACCAACTTTAGTTTCCCATCCCAGCTACCATTTGGCTCTGAGAAAGAAAAGGGAAGCCGAACTCTTATCAGCACAGCTGGAGTGGGCCCAGAGAGGGCTCCTCTCTGACAGGAAGGGTGTCAAGAGCAGCTACATCCTGTTTGCTGGTCATCCAGCTTCCCAGGACTTCCCTCTGTGGCCTTGTTTCCCCTCCAGAGTTCTCTTCCCATTCTCTGACATTTCTTTGTCTTTTGTTACAGCTCTGGGGCATAATCAAACAAGGATACAAATGCAAAGGTAAATAAATATCATTTTGTGAACATTTTCAAAAGTTGACATTTTGAGTAGCAATCAGATCTGTCCTGTTAAACCATAAAAGCTCTTGACATCACTGAGAACTTGGGTCTCTTGGGACAATGGTGGCAGAAGAGTTAGTGAAACCAGAAGTCTGTGAGCTCCGAGATTCAGCCCCGGCATTCTGCTGTGGGAGGGGAGGGCTGGCCTCGCCGCTCTGGAGGCTCAGCTCAGACATTTCACACTCATCCTCTATGGCACCTTTGGGATTTTTTTTCAGACTGTGGAGCCAACTGTCACAAACAGTGCAAAGATCTTCTGGTTCTGGCTTGCAGGAGGTTTGCCAGGGCGCCTTCCCTGGGCAGCAGTCAGGGGTCACTGCCTGGAAGCCCTGCCTTGCCCCCAGGTAATGCCCTCAATATTCCTCCCTGCCGCAACATCTCTCTGCTTACCTCCCCACACTTGGCTCTCATTTGCATTCTGGGTCTACACAAGCTCTACATCAGTATAAACAGCAAGACCTCCCTTAGATCACTTGCAATGCTAAGCCCCGGATTTCCCTTTGCCTTTCTCTGCTTTTGTCGCACATGCAGCTCATCACCTGCAGCTAATTTAGTTCTAGCCCTAGTCCGCTCCTCTGGGACCTGGAATGTCCTACTCATGTTGTACTGACATTGTTTGCTATCAAGCAGACTGATGTCAAATAATCACTCTCTTTGCCCTTCCAGTTCAGGATGAGGTGTTTGAGTTTCCTGGGGTCACTGCTGGACATCAGGACCTGGACAACAGAGCCATCACACTGGTCACAGGGTCATCTCGCAAGATCTCCGTGAGGCTACAGCGGGCTACCACCAGCCAGGCCACCCAAACAGAACCTGTCTGGTCAGAGGCTGGCTGGGGAGACTCAGGGTCTCATACCTTCCCCAAAATGAAATCCAAGTTCCATGACAAAGCAGCAAAGGACAAAGGATTTGCCAAGTGGGAAAACGAGAAGCCCAGGGTACAAGCTGGTGTGGATGTTGTAGACCGAGGCACTGCATTTGAACCCGAAACAGATGAAGGTCAGGATGAAGCCATACAGGATGGAGAGGTCAGTGCTGGTGAAATCACAAGTAGCATGAGGAAGAGGCTGAGGGCGCTGACGAGGGCACTGCTGTGGCTCTGGAAAGCAGCTACATGGTTTAGAAGCGGTATGGTTGCAACCAAGACGTATCACATTTAGTGTTACAGCTGGCTTGTTACATGACCCTGGAAAGATGATTTCTAGCCTTCAGACCTCAGTTTCATCATGTTTAAAACTGAATTGAATCCTAAAAGCGAACGAGGTTGTTAATCTGTACTGAAATGATACACCAGGGACTGATAACTGCTGCATGTATCCAAATACCAGCACACTACAGATTCACTTCACTTTCTGAGAGAGAGCCAGGCTCAAACTCAGGGAAGACTTCTAGATAGAGGAAGAGAATGAGAAAGTCTCATCTCCGTTAAAACAGAGGCTTGTGATAGTACCACAGAGAATCAAGGGTATGAGGGCTGCAAGGTTTTATAAAGCAGGCTCTGCCTCTACCTAAGAATCATATTCAGGGCATCCAAAATAAACTGGGATGCAGATAAGATTTATTAGAATCTGCTGAAATTACTGATTCAAGAAGGGAGATAATGTATTAGTCAACAGTCCATGAAGACGGAAGAGAAAAGAGAGTGATTAGTTGATATCAGTCTGCTTGAGAGCAAACAATGTCAGTACAACATGAGTAGGACATTCCAGGTCCCAGAGGAGCGGACTAGGGCTAGAACTAAATTAGCTGCAGGTGATGAGCTGCATGTTCGACAAAATGGAGAAAGGCGAAGGGGAATCAGGGCTTAGCATTGCAAGTGATCTAAGGAAAGTCTTGCTGTTTATACTTATGTAAACTTGTGTAGACCCTTGGGGATGTCTAATATTCCTAACTTCTAAAGTCATACCAGGCAGCCACTGCCTCTCTGTTGAGTTATCCTTGTGAACAGAGCATAGGGTTAAGGAGAGATTCTAGTTGACTGGGCCAGTCAATGCTCCTTATTCATATAGGTGATCCTCCACAGTCCACTCTTCAAGAGACCTCAGCAGAGTCTCTATAGTTTGCCGTGATGGGAAGAGCCCAAATGGCCTTTAACCATTAAATCCAAATCCCTCAAGCTTCTTTCTCACTGAACATAGGGTCTCATGTATGTTGGGCAGGTGCTCTACCACTGATCTATACCACCAGTCCCATAGAAATAACTTCAAAAAACCTCTTTATTGCGGCTGGGAGTGTAGCTCAATGGTAGAGCACATGATTAGCGTGTGTGGGGCCTTGGGTTCTATCCTTAGCACCAAAAGTAATTAATTTCTAAAATAAAATAAAGAGTGCTTTGTTGAAATGTAACTCATGTACCATGAAATCCCTTGTTCAAAGTGCTCAATTCAGTAGTTCTTAGTATATTTACAGAGTTGTGTGATAATCACTACAATGTAATTTTAGAGAATTTTTATCATTCATAGGGAAACCTGTCCTGGTCCTGAGTAACTAATGTGCCTCTTGTCTCTACAGATTTGTGAAATCAATCTTACTTTTAATACTTCCCCTGCTGCCCATCCTGGCCAATGTATCAATCCTGTCTGTCCCCTTACACTTGTTTGGCACCAAAGTAGGAATATTTCAGTGAATAAGAAAAAGTTCATGATTTGCTGCCAGGGAAGGGTATGCTAGGGTCAAAGGCTCTTATCCTGAAGTCTGAAAATGGCCATCAGGAAGGTTCGTGAAAGTACTTTTATATGAAGTTATGTACGGACATGCTCACTTCAGGCAGAGGAATTTGAATAGATTCCCAAAAGAGGTCTGTGATTTAAAAAAATCATTCTGTAAGACTTTTTTTCTGGATGATCCTTTTGAGCTGTACTGGTCAGTCCTGTAAGAACTCAGCTTGCAAGGCTATTTCTATGAGTAAGACGGCTGCTGTTGAAACCACCTCAGCTGCATCACTGGATGCTCACCTAGAATATGGGAAGGGGGCCACCTGATAGACACCTGAGTTGAAAGGAGTGCCTTCTGTGTAACAGTAGTCTGTCATAGCTCCCATGCCTTAAAGCATGCTCCTGAGTTAGGAGAAAGTCACAGCCTGTGTCACTTATACAATCATGAATCTCTATTATGAAATAAAAACAAAAACATGAGGGCTTTTTTGGTCTTTTTGAGACAGGGTCTCCCTGTAGCCTTAGCTGGCCTGGAACTTGCTATGTAGACCAGGCTGGCCTTGAACTCACAGAGATCCACCTGCCTCAGCCTCTCAAGTGCTGAGATTCAAGGCGTGCACCACCACGCCTAGCCTAAAACCTGAGTTTTAAAAAATTTAATTTTGTTCTTTATAAATTGATAATTTATATTAAAATATTTTCTTAGCCTTTCAATTTTCTCTTCTCATAAGTCATAGGAATGGTTCCCTGATCACTGGCACTTAATTTCCTTTATGTGAATTAATACAGACAATATGTTCTTGTGCAAAATGTATCATTATGGGATGCAGTCTCACTCTCATCCAAATCCATAGCAAACTTGACTTTGTTCAGGGAAAAGGCAAGAAGGGAAAAATGCGAAAAGCTCATACCCAAGAGGTCTACATGTAGACAAAGGAGTTTTCAAATTCAGGAATTTTTCTGATAGTCAAGATCAATGAATAGTACTAGAAGAAATGATCTCTACATTGATTAGTATCAGATGATATTTATCAGTCCTATAATTAAAAATGGCAAATGACAGGCACCAGTCTACTTTCTGTTGTAACTGAGTATCAGATACTGGTGACTTATAAAGAATAGAGGGTCACTGTAGCTCGCAGTGGTGGAGCTGGGAGTCCCACATGAAGGTGCTAGCATCCAGGCAAAGACAATCACCTGGCAAGACAGAGCAAGCAGTCGGCTCTGGTTTCTTGCTCTTTTCAAAAACATTTAAAATATTCTTTATTATTTTTATTTTATGTGTATGAGTGTTTTGCCTACAGCTATATAAGTGTACCATGTGTGCACAATGCCCATCAAGGTCAAGAGGGTGTCAGATTCTCTGGAACTGGAGTTATAGGCAGTTGTTAGCTGCTATGTGGGTTCTGGAAACTGAACCTGGGTCTCTGCAAGAACAGCCAGTGCTCTTAACTACTGAGCCATCTCTCCGGCCTCTTCTTCCTCTTCTTATAAACCCATAAATTACCTTTATGACCTATACTCCTAATCAGCTTCCAAAGGCCACACTATCAATACCAGTAACATGAATTTGAGGATTGGGCCTTTCTTTCCAACTTCAAGAACATGCTTTTATTTTTATGACCATGTACCAATTGTACAAGATAACAGATTCCATTATGACATTTTCATACACAGAACATTATTTGATTGAATCTACTCTCCCCTCAATTTAACACACTCATGTTGTGGTGGTTGGGGGGGTGCGTTCATATCATAGGATGTGGGCGCTCGGGGATCTTGGAGCACCAGCTGCTGGCGTGGCGCCGGTCTCTCGCTCGCTGCGTGTGTCTTGCGGGCGCAGTTTCGCGTGCCGCGCCGCTGAGGCGGGTCCCTGGCTCTCCGCGGCTACCGGATGCTGGCGAATCTTTGGGTCGCTGTCAGCTGCCGGGCGAGTTCTGTTCCAAGCTGCCTGACACTCCCTATGTGTACGCGATCCGTTGGCCACCGGATCACGAGGGGAGGTGCAGGAACAGCGAAAGCAAGATCTTCACAAGTGGTTGTTGACGGAAGGATAGCCCCCTCTGGGGAGACTGAATTGTAGGCAGTAAGACACAGGATACAGCTCAGTCAGACTCAGTGATACAGCTCCAATTTATTAGGGGGAAAACCAGAAGATTTATAGTGTGGAGGCAGTAGCAAAAGCTTCAGCTGATAGGTGCTCCTGGGATGCCCCATTTACATGTGGTGGTGGGCTTCTATCAGGCTGTCAGACAGTGCCTGATTATCACACAGGAAAAACCTGGCAGTTTCTGTGCCAGAGGACATGTATCTGTGACGGGCACTTCAAAAGGTGAGTCAGGAAGAGAGTAGGAAGGCGCCCCGCTGAGAAAGGGAGTCCTTCCATTTGCACCGAGCCGGCTTGCGGCTATCCGGACATGGAGAGACTACGACCTAAAACAGCAGGGGTCCCCAACAATAGGAGTAGAGGAGGCGGTCATGTTTATAATTGGTGCATCTTCCTAAGTGGAGTTCCAGAGTTCAAACTCTTACCAGTGGCCACTAAATTCCCACAGTAAAGGACAGGTCAAGTTCATTTTCTTAGTAATAATAATTTAAGTATTTTCTTTATAATTCTTTTGTTTTCTATTATCTTCTGCTAAATCAAATCTAGTAAATATTTATCATAGGTTTGGAAAGTAAATAAATTCACCCTGTTTATGAACTATATACAGTCATACATACATACATATGTATGTAAATGTTTTCTTATAGATTGTCTTAGTGCCCTTACATATAAATTATATTGTGGAGTTCTAAGGGAAACATTTAACAAAGAGCATTTTGAGGGAGGGACTAATGTTCTGTGGAGCACAGTTTAGAAACAACATAGAGTATTCATCCTGGTTAAATCTATATAAGAATAGGATTTTCATTTGCTAGGTGGTCTATTTGGGTTTTATAAAGATTTACTCTTTGTTTCTGTGTAAGTACACACATGCATGTGAGCATGGGTATGTGCACCCGTGCGCCAGCACCCGAGGTCAGAAAAGGGTGGTGTTGTACCCTCTATCACTCTCCACCTTTTTTTTTTTTTTTTCTTTTATGCAGGGTCTCTTTGAGTCTGGAGCTCACAGTTTCTCTCTGATAGGCTGGAAGCTAGTGAGTTCCAGCAAGCCTCCTTCAAAATGGGAATTCCAGGTGTGCCTGACTTGTCACATGGGTCCTGGGATCTGAACTCCAGGGCTCAGGATTGTACAGCAAGCACTCTTAACCACTGAGCAAATCTCTCCAGCAGCCTCCCCTCCCACTCCACCCCCTCAAAAAAAAATCTGTGAGAGGAATACACATGATGTTGCTCTGGGCTGGCCTCCAACTCCTGGGCTCAAGGGATCTTCCTGTTTCTGCTTCCCAAGTAGTTGGGATTACAGGCTCACACCACTCCTGACTAGCTAATGATCTTTCACCTGCATATATGTAAGAGTACCTCATGCATGCTTGGTGCCTGAAGAGGCCAGAAGAGGGCACTGAATCCCCTGGAACAGGAGTTAAGGATGGGTGTAAGCCACTATGTGGGTGCTGGGAACTGAAGCCAGGTCCTTTGGAAGAATGGTAAGTACTCTTAACTGCTGAGCCATCTCTCAGGCCCTGGCTAACCAGCCTTTAATTACTTCTAAATCTTGAGAATAAAAGGTACTGATCATTTGAGGTCTTCCCTCACATTCACCTGGCAAACAACCTTCTAGGAGCACTATACTGTTAAATGAGACACAGCCAAGCAACAGGTTCTAATTTGTTTTGCAGGATGGCTGAGTTCAGGCTTCGGAAACTGAAGGCAATCATGCTGGCTTTGGGAAGAAGAGAAACTCAGAAAAGCACTCCAAACTCAGGAAGTTGGCTGAAGAGATCTGGAAACTCACTGCCTTATGTTGTAGGATCTCCATGACCAGACTGGAATAGAGGATTTACCCTGACTCTGAACTATTTATTTCCTCCTCCCCATCCCTATGGAGGAACCACAAAGACTGATATATATTTAGCAGTTTCGCACATCTCTCTCTAGAGCTGGTTATACACAGGTGAAACGAAACAAAAGTTTTTGTGTACCTTTGGTATCCATTCTCTAAATTCAAGACTTGGCTTTTCTTGTGAGAATATTATTTTGATATTTTCTATGTGTGTAGGGATGTCTCATAAGAAGTTGGCTTTGAGCTCTTTTTGTGTTTTTAGATTGGACCAGGACTTGAAGATTTACTGGCGGACAAGTAAGTTCTTTAGACCCTGAAAGGCAGTGATGCTTCTAATGCTGACCAGCTGCAAGAAGCTGTTTACAGTGTCCCTGCCACACCGCTACTGCGATGTGTAATGTCATGTGTGTGTACATCACCCAAGTCTTACCAGTTCTGAGTCACTGAGGGGTATCATAGCCCCAGAAGCTCTCCTAATATGCAGAATAACCATGATGGAAAACATGATTCCTGACCCATTGAACTGGGTTCACCAGTCTTTCTTTACAAGTCCCCAAATAGAGTCTGAATTAAGAAATCAAATCAAGTTTGGAGGGATAAAACTGAGCAGAAAAAACTACTGCATTACCAGGTAAAAAGCAAAACAACTGCTTTTTAAAAATCTAAAGTAACCTTAAAAGTTTTGTTTTAGATAACATTTGGTTGCAAAAAATAAATTATTGCCCATACTTAAAGATTCACAGGAAGAAAATCATCATAAACCTTAATGTTTGATTAACATTTAATTTACACTTTATTAATAATTTAAATGTCTTCTTTTGGGGTCATTTCTTTAACATTTTAGTTGTTAGCCTTAGCCATTAATGGCTGCGCTATCCCTCCAAGCCCTGGGGTCATTTCTTGAATGAGGAGAGGAGAAAGAATGTGGTTCAAGAGATGTTCAGAACTAGGCTGGTGCTAACATGCTTGTAAGCTCAGCATTTGGGAGATGAGGTAGGAGGACCTCAAGCTTGACGTCGGAGTGGGTAACAAAGCAAGACTCTCAAAAAATGAAATAACTGAAAAAGAAAAATAGAGAGAAGATTAAGATTGAACCTGTGGCTGAGGGAAAGGATCTGCTGCCAGATGGCCAGCTGGAAAGTGTACTCCACAGAGGTACATGGGTCCACATTTGAGGACTAACATATACATACCCTACATAAAACTGATGGTGATTTATTTGGGGAAGTCACTTCAGGAGGGCCTCTCTTCTCTCCTTTCTTCATGACAGTTCTGCCCAGCAAGGTTGTTATGCACCTGTTCTGAGCAGCTGCAATGCTGGATGCAAAGATATGGAAGACTTGGTCTGGGTCCTTAGAAATCAAGAGCATGAGGACACCAAGGCCAAGAGGTTCCAGTGTCTTCAAATAGCTTTGCTAGAGCTGACGTAATGTGCCTCAAAGGCTCCAGAATGAGAGTATCGATTCAGGTTGGAAGTACTGCATAGTAGGGGAAGTCATCAGTTGAACAGTTATACTTAAGTTGGGAAAGAAGACAAGTGTCATTACCAGTGCACATGCTAGATTTCCACGCTCTCAACTCAAGGCTTGGCTTTTATGTGGGAGTAGTCAAAATATTTTAAAAAGATGTCCTCACATTTATCAGTGGCAAGCACCTCAGAGGGCAGTGGTGCTGGCTCTGTGTATATACACCATCTATTACTATTCATGAATACAATTAAATACATGCTAACAAATTAAAAACAGAAAATGGCAACCTAAGTACAGGAAACCTTTCTGAAGAAATTCAGAAAGAAACTTATTAAGAAATGTTGGACTTTCTTTTTTCTTTTCAAAGGAATTATTTCACTGTGTTTGGATATTTATGAATTTTCATTTATAGAAGGAATTTTATATTTCCAGTCTTCCTGTGACAAGGAAATGAATGTACATTCAATGAAAAATAAATGCAAACAAAAAGAAATATATGTGTGTTGTATATGTGTACCATTGTGTATATGGCTGTGAGTTGTGTGCTTACACAAACACACAACTATCATAAACCCACTGTCTACAATGAAGCTGCTGTATCATTTACTTATAATCAATGGTGATTTTAATATTTTAATCCATCAATTTCCCAGAGTCAGTAAAATAAAATAGTTAAAACTCATGATGAAGCAAAAAACTAATTTGTTTGCTTCCTCTAGGCCTTTGTTTTGTAGTAGATTTGATGATTGGTCGTTATTTTCTTTTAGGAGGTGTTCTATGGGTCACTAGGGAGACAGAATCTTACTGTGTAGTGAAGGATGGCTTATAACAATCTAGGTAGCCTGGGCTGGCCTCGAACTTGAGAATCTCTTGACTCTGCCTCTCAAGTGCTAGGATTATAGGAGTGTTCTACCATACCCTGCCACTTTCACCTTTAAAGGGAAAAGCCAAACTCTTAACAGTGAGTTAGGCACTAAGGAGGATATATTAGCTACTTGCATCAATTCTTTATGTATCTGTCTAAGCCTGAGCAGCTGTAACTAGTGTTTGAAACATTTTGTTGAGTGTCTGCCTCCTCAGTAATGTCCCCAGATTTCCACAGTACCATCCAGTTGTCTAAGAGGTTTGCTGTTGAAAAATGAAGGCACACTAGGCACGGTGACAAATGTCTTTAATCCCAGCAGTTGGGACACAGAGGCAAGTGAATCTCTCTGAGTTCAAAGACAGCCAGGGCTACATAGTGAGGCCCTGTCCTGTCTCAAAATAAAACAAAACAAAATAAGACAAAACAAAAAACAACATAGGGTCTGGAGCGATAACTCAGCAGCTAAGAGCACTGGCTGTTCTTACAGAGGACAGGCGATCGGTTCCCAGCATCCACATGGCAGCTAACAAATATCCAAAACTCCAGATCCAGGAGATCCTATGCACTGTGGGTGCACATCCATACATGCAGGCAAAATACAAATATCAAAAATAGATTTGAAAAAAAAGTGAGATCCCCACCTGCTCCTCCTGCCTAAGACCTCTGGATGGACTAGCCTCCTAAGCCAGACCCTCAGTCAGCTCACTCAGTCTTAATACTCCTACACCTGGACCAGCTACATTTTCCTGTTCCAGGGCTCGTATCTACTTTGCTTAGCTAGGTAGACCCTCCCTATGCTATTCCCCACCCCAACCTTGGGCTTAGGCCCCCTTCTGATCTTGCCTCCTGAGACCTCCAGACTAGCCTGCCAGAACCTGGCAACTGGATCCCCATAGTTTCAAATTGGGCCTAGGCACCTTCCCCCTTCTGGAGAGCTCTTGACTAGTCAGCTTGGAACCATCCTCTTCCACCAGTAGAACAATAAAGAGTGAGAACCTGAAGCACAGACCAACTACCTACTCATACCAGATCAGAATACAACCAAGCTACATCAACAATATAAACAGAACCAAATGACAACTCAACAAAGCCAGGCTAGAATTTCATATCATACACACAACCAACAAAACAAATTCGTATGTTCAGACCACAATGCAAAAACACAAATAATATGAAAACTAAGACAATCTGTCCCCACTGAAACCTATGGAAATGTATTACAACAAGAACTACATAAAGGAACCCCAGGACTCAGAATTTAAAAGGACAATCATAAACATGATCAAAGAATTCAATGACTTTAAAGAACACAAAAACAAACAACTTAAAGAACTCAAATAGGATAGGAATAAATGACTGAAGCTCAAGAAAATATGAATACATAGCTGAATGAAATGACAAAGATAATTCAGGACTTGGAAAGTGAATTCACAAAAGAGATAGAAATGTTGAAAAAAATTCAAGCAGAAATGAAAATGGAATTGGAAAATTCAATAAGCCAATTTGAAATGACGGAGAAAAAAATCTCACAAGTAGAATAAATGAAATGGAAAACAGAATATCAAGACTGGAAGATAAAGTTGAAGAATTGGGCCACTCTACCAAATAATATGAAAAAAAAATGCAGGAAATGTGGGAAACCATGAAAAGACCAAATCTATGCATCACCGACATAGAGGAAGGACGAGACTCTCAGGTGAATGGCATTGTCCAGCTCTTTGAAAGGCTTATAGAAGAAAACTTCCTAAATTAAGGAAAGACATACCTATAAAGATATAAAAAGCAAACAGAACACCAATTAGACAGGACCAGAACAGAAACCTCTCATGGCATATTACAGTAAAAACACTAAACGTACAGAACAAAGAGAGGCTACTGAAAGCTGCAAGAGAAAAACAATAAGTCAAATATACAGAAAAATCCATCAGAATTACAGCTGACTTTTCAATGCAAACTATAAAAGACAAAAGAGCCTGTAGCAAAGTATTCTAAATTATAAATGACAACAGATGTCAACCCAGAATATTTGACACAGCAAAACTGTACATCACAGTTTAAAGAGAAAAAAATCTTCCATGATACAAATAGTCTGAAAGAATTCATGTCCATCAAACCAGTCCTACAGAGAATACTTAAACCAATATAAAGGACTGAAGAAAGAAATGACCATACTCAAGAGGTTAGAGAAAGAAAACAAATGAAGGTATAAAGCACAGAAACACAAAATAAGACAAGAACATAAACAGAAAATAGAATGACAGTAACCAATACACACCTTTCAATAACTCTAAATATCAATGGCATCAACTCCTCAGTCAAAAGACACAAGCTGGTTGAATGGATTAAGAAACAAAATCCATCTGTTTGTTTTCTACAAGAAACTTGCCTTACCTCCAAGGATAGGTATTATCTTAAGGGTGAAAAAAAAAAAAAAAAAAAAAAAAAAGGAAAAAAAAAAACCCAAGTAAAAGGCACTATGAAACAAGTAGGAGCTACTATTCTACTATCTGACGAAATAGACTTCAAACTAAAATTAATCAGAAGCAATAAGGAAGGTCAGTGTATTCTGAGCAAGGGAAAAATTGACCAAGAAGACGTAAAAATCATGAACATATATGCACCAAAGTTGGTGTACCCACTTTCATAAAAATGGTACTGTTGGACTTTAAGACACAGATTATCCACAACTCAGTTATAATAAGTGGCTTCAATACCCCACTTTTCCCAATAGACATGTCATCTGGACAAAGAATGAAAAGAGAAACAGCTGAATTAAATATCATACATCAAATGGACCTATCAGACATTTATAGAACAGTCCACTCAAGCACCAAAGAATACAGTCTACTCAGCAGCCCATGGAAGTTTCTCTGAAATAAACCACATACTGGAGCACAAAAGAAATCTCAAAAAATTTCTAAAAATTCAAATAATTCCATGTATTCTATTAGACGACAATACAATAAAAGTTAAAATCAATAGTACTAAGCTCTTATAACTATGCAAACTCATGGAGATTAAACAACACATTCTTGAATGATGAATGGGTTAAAGAAAAAAATCAAGAAAGAAATAAAGGTATCCCTAGAACCAAATGAAAATGATAACATAACACAACAAAATCTCCAGCACACATTAAAAGCAGTCCTAAGAGGGAAATTTGTAGCTCTAAGTACCTACATTAAAAAAAAAATCAGAGCACAAATTAATGTACATCAAGAATTTGGAAAAGCAAGAACAAACCAAGCCAAAACCCAACAGAGGAGCAGAAATAACAAAAATCAGGCAGAAATTAATGAAATAGAAACAAAGCAATACAAAGAATCAAAGAATCCAAGAGCAGATTCTTTGAAAAGATAAACAAGATAGACAGACACCCTAGGCCAGCTAACCAAGAAAAAGAAAGAGCAAACCAAATCAACAAAATCAGAGACAAAAGGGAAGACATCACAATAGACACAAAAAGGTCCAGAATATTATAAGGGACTACTTTAAAAACCTATACTGTATTAAATTTAAAAAGTTAAAAAGGAATGGATGACTTTCTAAATTCAATGGATCCACCAAAACTAAACCACAAAGAGAGGAACAACTTAAACAGACCCATAACAAATAAGGAAACTGAAACAGTAATACAAAGCCTCCCAACTAAAAAAAGCACAGGCAGACCTTCAAAGAAGATCTACAACAAATACTACTTAAATTAGTAAAATAGGTAGAAATAGAGGTAAAACTCTTAAACTCCTTCTATGAAGCCAGTATTACTCTAATACCAAAGCCAGGTAAAGACACAACAACAACAAAAAAGAAAACTGTAGCCCATATTCCTAATGAACACACATGCAAAAATTCTCAACAAAATAATTGCAAACTGTATAAAGATACACATCAAAAAGATCATCCACCATGATCAAGTTGACTTTATTCCAGACATGCAGAGATGGTTCAATATACATAAATCAATAAATTTAATAAAACATATAAATGAACTTAAAGAAAAAAACACATGATCATCTCAATAGATCTAAAAAAGAGCTTTGATAAAACTCAGCATGCATTTATGATAAAAGTCTCAGAGGGAATTGAACTAGAGGGAACATAACCTCAACATAATTCAAGCTATATACAACAAACCCACAGCCAACATCATTCTAAATGGAGAAAAACCAGAAGCACTCCCATTAAAACCAGGAACCAGACAAGGCTGTCCACTATTCCCACTCCTTTTCAATATAGTGCTTGAAACTTTTGCTAGAGCAATAAGACATGAGAAGGAAATTAAAGGCATGCCAATGGGAAAGAAGAGGTCAAATTATCCCTATTTGCAGATGACATGATATTATACATAAGAGAGCCCAAAAATCCCCCCCTGAAATTTGTAGAAATGATTAACACTTTCAGCAAAGTGGCAGGTTACAAAATCAATTTACAAACATCAGTAGCCTTTTTGTATGCCAATAACAAGCAACCAGGGAGTTCATGAAAACACCTCCATTCACTATAGCCTCCAAAAACAAAACAAAAACAAAAACAAAAAAACTCTAGGGGGGCTGGAGAGATGGCTCAGCAGTTAAGAGCACTGGCTGCTCTTGCACAGGACCTGGTTCACTTTCCTGCCACCCACATGG